ACGGATCGCTTTTTTAATTTGATTTTTTCCGTTGCTATTTAATAGCAACGGATAATTTTTTTTTAAAAAAAAAATTCGTGGCTTTTAAATAAAGCCACGAATTTTAAAATAAAAAAAATTATGTGGGACTTTTATTTAAGGCCCCAAAATTTTTAAGGCTCGCGAGCCTACTATGAGGCTCGCGAGCCTACTTTGAGGCTCAAGCCAGACCTTAGTTGGGTTTGGCTCGGCTTGGATCGGCTCAGCTCGCTAGGCTCGCGAGCCTTAAGGCCTATGAGGAGCTTTAGCCTTGAGGGTAAAAGGATTAACACAAGGAGCTGAAATGTTATGACTGAAGGATTTTCATAGTGTTATATCTGATTAGTTATATAGACTTCTGAAACAAGAGTACAAAAGGTTGGTACAAATGTGTAGAAAGACAAATTCTCAAACAATTCTAAATTATTTGAACAATGACGTAGGGTCGCAGGAGCTCTCCTTTAAAGGAGGAAATGTCTGTAGTGATAACGAAAGATTGGCAAGATGGTATAAAGATAGCAGTACAAAAAATATGTGATATAGGAACACAAATGATAGAAATGATAGAAAAATACAAATGATGGAAATGAAGGAGTTGTATAATGATAGAAATGATGGAGTTTTATAATGATAAAAATAATAGAGAAAAATAAATGATGGGAATGATAGAGGAAAAGAAAATATAAAAGTAACAATACCAAGAGGAAGAAAAGGGAGTTCTTTTTGAACAGCATATTTTTTTAAAATAGCAACTTTTGATATTTTATTTCTTTATTTTATTTTATCTTATTCTATTTTATTAAGTAATTATAATAACGTTTATAATAATATTCATGTAAATAGTAGAAGTAGTAACAGAATAGAAACATGCCTAACTTCTAATAAAACTTTCTTTTGATTGTCTAATTATAAATAAACATTTCATCACTTATAATTCTTTTCTAGTATTGATAGTATATATAGGAAAACTACCTCTACTTTACTTGCTCACATACTTCTCAGATAATATTTATAATTTTATAGTTGTTATTTAAAGTTGTCACACTGTATAGCGATACACAAAGAAGTATAAGCTATTATTGTAACTGGGAACTTGATTTGTTGTGTAATTCTGTTCGGACATGACTATATATATACTATTGAATTTCAAAAACAAGATTTACCATATACACATATTCTAATTAAATCAATATTAATTTTATTACAACTAGAAGATATTAATAAAATGTACTGGTTGAAATTTATAAATAGTACTTCTATCAGATATCTGATAGGTAACAGATAAGTAACAAATAGATATACTATTCATCCTGAAATTTGTCTATATCAGATATACTTATTTGACATACAGTGCAGTAAAAAAGTCTTTAGACAACTTCGCGTGTTAATAATTCAAAAATTACTGCGTCATATCACATGTACAATGACTCATTAGAAAGCTGATTGATTAAAGATTTATTTAAAAAAAAATTTAATACATTTAATATGGGATACGTTCTCCATTTTTTTTAATTACAAGTTTGCATCGTTCTTTCATGGATCCCACCAAGTTTGCTAAAATACTTTCTGGAATTTTTTCCCATTCTTCTACCATAAACCGCTCTAATTCAATTAAACTTTTTGGCCAACGTTTTTCAACTTTTCCCTTAACTATACTCCACAAATTTTCTATTGGGTTGAGATCGGGACTATTAGATGGCCAATCGATTACTACCAGGACATTCTTTGCTAGAAATTCTTTTGCAACTTGACTTGTATGCTTGGGATCGTTATCTTGTTGAAATTGCCAACGGTTCTCAAGCATTTTTCGAATTTTAGGAAAGTGTTTCTCTAAAATTTCTACATAAAATAGGCCATTCATAATTCGTTGGAAACTAAAAAGGCTCATTTTTCCTTTTGACCAAAAACCTCCCCAGGAAAACATTTTTCTTTTGTCTTTTGGGACCCGTCGTACCGGACGTTTTTCTTTGTACCAATATTGTACTGTATTACGAAACAATTGAAATGAAGTTTCGTCAGTAAAAACAGTTCTATTCAATTATTATTTCGATATTTTTTTGTCCATGCTATATGCTTTTGTATGTGTTCACTTGTAAGTATTGGCATTATCTCTGCTCAATTTTTTTTATAGCCAAGCTTGGTCAAATGATTCCAAACGGTTATGTGCGAGACCTGAACTTCTTTTATTAAAAGTTTTGTGACCAGTGCTTTTGTTGAAATTGATGGATCAGTTTTTATTTGTTTGACTAAAAAACTTGGAGCTTCGGGAAGAATTTTTCGGGGGCGACCACTACGATTTCGGTGACTAATACTACCAGTTTTTTTTAATTTAGAAATATTGTAATATACTGTGGATCTAGGAATACCCGTTCGTTTTTGTATTTCTTTTGCAGTTTGGATTCCTCTGTCCCATAATTGTTGGATGGCTTTGGCATGTACATCTTGAGGGCCGCTCATTTTTTAGTTATTTATTAAAAAAAAATGGTACCGAAGTTCAATAAACGGTACAAAGAAAAAAAGATCGATATGATAATCAATTAATAATATTTGGGTCACAAGGTTTGTAACCTAAAACGGGCGAATTAGATAATTGATTTTCATCATGTAAATCTTGTCCAAAGACTTTCTTAACGCACTGTATATTATAAGTGAATGAGATTATTTTGTTTTATTTATTTTCTGGTTGGTGAGAAATTATTCTCTAAGTTGGTATGTAAAGGTTTTTTTGCCTGTAGTTTTAACCTTAAAGGGAATGACTCGTCTTCCCATACTCGCTTTGTGAGCGTGCCTAGAATGTAAATCATTTTCTGCCTTTAATAAACAGAGATACGCGGCCGTAATGGTTAAAAAAAAAAAGTGAATGTCAAAAATGGTACTAAGTAACCTCAAAGATAAAAGTTAATTGTATCTGATATAAGAAGTATAGACCTATTTCATCAAAATTGAGCGAACAATTGTCATTTTAGAATGCTTTCACTGTTCGAAATTTAACCGACAATACGTCTCTTAATTTTGATTACATAGATCTGTCCTTTTAATATGATACGCAATTCATTCTTATCTTTAAGGCTACTTAGTACTGTTTTTGACATTGACTTATTAAAATAAAATTTTTATATGTAACAATCATTGAATCGATATCTGAGGATATCCGTACAAAATCATTCGTATACCAAAGTATCTATCCGAATAGATCCAACCACTACTCCTAGTCAACCAATAAAATTAGTTTTAACTCAAGAATTCAAAAGAAACATTATTTCATGAGCACGCAGCAGAAATTTCCTCTTGTATCCATATGAATTTCAGCAGGAAGCAGATGTTGGTAGGATTGTAATTATGAAAGTTAAAAGAACTGGTTAAATTCTCGGTGGTTATAATCCTTTAATGTAAGATAATACTAGTTCAGGTAATTATAGAAAAATGGAAAAATGATTAATATTCAAAAATCAATTCTTAGTAAAGAAACGTCAAAAGTATATTTAGTCGAGCAGGTCATCTTTTACATGTAGATGATCAATTTAATTTTTATTATAGATGGTCTTAGGTATATATGAAAAATCTATTAGAAAAAAGTGAAGCGAGAAAACTTATTAGGGAATTTATATTTTATTATGTTGAAATCTTATTTATACTTATTAGCCTATTGTTAAATTAAAACTTATATATATATTCAAATCGTTTCGTTCTTTAAAATGGTTAATATTTCTTAAAAAATTTGGTTCATATAAATTGTAAGAAAAAAAATAATATAAATCTTAGTTATAGAATTATCTCCTCAGGAATCTTTTTCTAAGAGCGATTTTATCATTTATGAAGTAATGGTTAAAAATTTCAGTTCCTATGAAAGATGTTCATTTATACATATTTTATCTTGAAAACTTAAAAATTGGCCATAAGGATTTGCGCGTGCGCATAATAGAAAATTAATATGAAATTACCTTTTTACATTAATGGAAAATCTTTATGATATCATATATTACATGATAATTTTGGGTTAATATACTGCAAGTTTATTATATATATAAAATCTTGTGAAAGTTTACTTTACAAAATATTGTATACATATTTTTCTGGGAAATAAAAAGATTATTAATTACAATCATCCTCATAAAATCCATGAGAGTGAGGATCATTAGAGTCTATTGTTTTTTCCGAATTATCAACTTCGGTGGTAGTATTATTAAATCCCGGAGCAGTAAATAAATCTTCTTGAAAATCTGGAAAATTTGACATTGTTTCTTGAATATTTGACATTCCTTGAATATCTGAGATTTCTTGAATAATTGGGATTTCTTGAATATTTGGGATTGTTATTTCTTGTTGAGATTGATGTGAATAATAATTCTGAGGAGAAATAGCAAAACTTGGAGTATTATTCATCCAATAATCATTCGTTGTTGCGTATTGTTGTTGTTGCTGCTGTTGAATTTGGCTTTGAGAATCATTAGTTTTTTTGTACTTCCAAATCAGGGTAGTGTGGGAATTTTCTTTTACTGGGTAAGTCATTATAGAAGTCCCCTCAATTTCAGATTGTTTTGTATATTTCTTAGTTCGTTTGTTACTTTTGCTCAATTGTTTTTCAGATTTTCTTTTTGTCTCTGAACTTTTACCAGCAGATACATTAGATACATTAGGCGTCTCTTCTGGACTTTTACTAGCGGATATAGCAGATACATTAGGCGTCTCTTCCGTCTCTTGAGATTTATCTGATAATTTCTGTTTTGATGATGATTGTAAATTCTTTACTGAATCTTCAAGTATCAGTGGAGAAGACGAAAAAGCTTCTGTTTTTGGTTCATTATCAAGATCTTTTGGAGTTTTAGGAGCAAATGTAATTAAAAGAGAAGGATCTAACGAAAGAGTATTGAAGTCAAGTTCTTTTTTATCATGATTTTCCACGAATTTACTAATTTTAAGCCAAATTTCGGAACTTATGGTTTCTCTGTTTTGGATGATGGATTTTCTTGAATCTCGAGTACACTCAAGTAAGCTTAGCAATTTCTTCAAATCATCAAACCAATTTTCTGTAGGTTCTGAATTATTATTATTATTTTCAATATAATGATATAGTTTTCTCAACCAATAAGTTTGTTTTTCTGTTGTAGTGAAATTCATAACTAAATTTAAAAGTGATTTATCAAGAGTATTTGATCCAATTACTAGCTCAATTAATTCTAATTGATCTTCTTCGGGAGATTGTTTGGCTGACATAATTTTTTTAAATAATTTTAAAACAATGTTATTTTAAAATAATTTCTCGATAATTATTTAATTTTCGATACAAACAAATGATTCTATAAACTTTCGAAAACGAAATTCGTTGTTTATAAATTCCTATCGTGATGTGTTGTGTTTAATTTTTGTCGACGAAAAGGTGAAAACTTTAACGATCGAATATTCAGATTTTTATTTGGTGTATTTATATTATTTTGTGATTTTTGACATGAATAAAGTTTTTTCTTTAACTCCGGTTTGTCATACATGCATTTATTTTTATTTTCAAGGTCGTGATGGATCTTTTGTTTGTTGGATTGTTGGATCGTTTGATTATAGATATAATAATAAATCGATTAGACTGGAATTTTACTTTAATTGATAATATTTATTGTTATAATATTAAATGTGTGACACATTCAGTAAAAAGATTACGTACAGTTATTTATTTTTGTTTATTAAATTGTTTTATTATCCAAAGTTGGATAAATGATCCTTATATTTTATCTGTACCTTAAATAACCATATTCGTCATTGTATTAATTGTATTTTTAGGAATACATTATTAATGATAATAATTGTTCCAAATCTTTAATAACATTATAAGTAACAATTTTCACAATTCTTAGCCAATTTATTCTTTTCGTTAAAAATCAAGTCAACTAATTTAGATAAATTTCTAAATTAAGCATTTTTTTTTTTGAAAAACCCTTTTTGTCAAATCATTATGTAAATCAGTAAAACAAAACTTTAATATTTTCTTCTCTTAAAAAATAAAATTGTAGCACCCATACTATTAAACATTTTCTTTTTTAGTGGTACCAATAAATAAGGTTTGAATAACTTTATGCAACGTTTTAAATACTGATTATCCGATCATGCTATGAACGAATTTTTCATAAGATGATATCAGTGTCATCTAGGAAGCAATATGTATGCTTTTGAATTTGACCATGAAGTTTATCTGTAATTATTTTTTTTTTTAATTTTTTTTTTATTGTAAACATTTTCACATCTAAAACTTGAAAGGATAATTATAAAATCACTAATAATCAATATCCTGGTAACTCAATTTGTAAATTTAAGAAATTTGTTGACTTTTTTGGAAATCAATCTCCAGAAGAGATTTCTTTATGACTCGATTTCGACGCCTTTTTACAAAGAAATAATAATAAATTAAAATTAGGGATTGCTTTCTATTATGACTAAATTTAGAATTCAGCCAAGGGAAATACAAGGGAGTAACAAACACGCGAAAATTAGAAATATTTTAGTAAACATCGGATTCCCTTTTTATTGCATCTTTAACGCTTCATAATCTTTTAGCATTGATTACATGCATGTTATATAAATTTATACGTTAATAAAGTATACTCGGAACTTATCTTCCGATAAGAATTACTAAGATTAATGTTAATGTTTGACAAATAATTAGTAATATAATATTTTATTGTTCTCTTTCAGGTTACAATAAAAAAGTTTGAGTAAAATAATAAATAATCTATTAAAGTTTTCCTTTATAAGCAATAAAATATATTTAAAAATATATTTAAAAATATATTCATCTAGACAGCATTTCTCGGAATTAAGCGCGTTCCCAAATAATATTATAAGATAACAAATAACTTTTATTTTACTAAAAACTTTGACAACACGTCAATATTATATCCATTTTTTTCAATTTCCTCTTTAACTAATTCTATCATCTTTAAACTTTCTGATTTATATATTCCAAATAATAATGTTTCGAAAACTTGTCTATCCACTTTTTTGCCAGCGAAAGAAGCTTTTAATTTTTGATAAATATCCCAACAAAATCGCATATCAGATTTCTTTCCTGTAGCTGCTAAAGCATTCATTAATGTAATTCCACCTCTAAAATTTACCTTAACTTGTGATTTTACATTTTCTTGAAAATATTTTTTCGCTCCTTCAATATGTCCAAGTTTAATACTTGTCACAATCAAATTTCTATATGTTATAGTATCTGGTTGAATCCCATCATTTATCATATTTTCATAAATTTTTTCAAATCCTTTAATACTACACCATTTCACTCTACCATATCCTTGAATTTGTACATTATAAGTAGATATATTAGGTTTTATATGATAATTGGTTTTCATATCTTTGATAAAGTCTTGTGCTGAAATATTGTCATTCATTATATAAAATCCATGAATAATTGTGTTAAATATTTCTATACAAGGTTCTTTATAAAATTGAACAATATCTTTAAAAATTTCTTTCGCTTTCTTGATCTCTTGATTATATACTAATATTTTAATAAATTTCAAATAACTTACTTCATTTGGTATTATTCCATGTTCTTTAATAATCTCATAAAAATTTAAAGCAGATATTAGATCATTATTATCTAAATATCCTTCAAGTATTAATCTATAAAATCTTGGGTGTGGCATAAATTTTTTGGATATTAATTCAAATAAAAATATTTTTGCTGTATTTGGATCATATAAATTTGCATATGTTTCTAACAATTTTTTTGCACAAATTTCCATTCCATTTTCAGATTCTTGTTTACAAAATTCTTTATATATTAATTGAGCTTCTTTTAAATATTTATGAAGTAAAAGGTTATCAAATATTCTAAGCAAAAATTTTTCATTCACTCTATCTCGAATTAAATTATTTTCTTTTTGACAAGATAATAATAATCCTTCAGTTAATTCACAAAGAACACTATAATCATCTAATTTAAATTCAAATGTGGGAGAAACTATTCTTCGTAATAAAGAATAATTAATAAAAGAATTTGGTTGCAAACAAAAATCTCTTTTCATAATGTAATAAACATTGAGTGCTACCCTTAAAACTTCAGCGTAATTAGGATATTTTCTACTGTCTCCATAAATTCCAATTTGAGCTGCTATTAAACTTTGAAATGACAAGGAGTCAGGATATATTCTTTTATTATACCACATCTCATTGAAATATTTCGCTACGTGACTTGTATCATTTCTTTTTGCGTATGATAAAAGTAACCAATTATAATTATTTTTATTTTTCTCAAAATATCCTTCACTAAAAGATTCTTGGTAAAATGTTTCAACCAAATCTAATTTTATATTGCTCATGTTCCTTAGATATTCATCTATATTATTTATAGTTGGATTAAGACCATCCTCAATTAATTTCATTATATATACACGAGCATCAACGAAATCCTTTAAATTGATGGTTTGATTAATAATGTTAAGATAATCTGGTAACGTTGGTGGGAACCCTAAGTTTTTCATTGTTTTTAACCAAAATTTTGCTTCTTTTAAAGATTCATTCCGTTCACATCCTATTCTTATCAAATATTGTAATGTACAAAGTGTTAAATTTGAATTTTGAACTTGTATTCCTTCTTTAATCTTTTCAAAATGAAGATCCGAGATTATAAAATTATTCTCCACATTATTCAAATTATTTAAATTATTTAAATTATTCAAATTATGCTTATTCAGTTCTTTCAGTTCTTCAATTTCTCGTCTAAACAAAATTTGTAATAATAATATACAAACGTGTACATGATTATTTTTCAAATCGACAAATTCTTGAGTAGAGTTTGTTAATAATATTCGTCTTATATCCTCAAATGTCAAATCATTATATATGAGCTTTTCATCTTGTTTAAATAGATATAAAAGAAGATGCCAAAGGAATGATGAATCCTTATAAGTTCTAATAGCAAATTTTAATCTCCATATCATAAAAGAATTATCAAAATATTTACAGATATTATAATTGTGATAATTGTGATAATTGTGATAATCGTGATAATTGTGAGAATTGTGATAGGAATTTGTTGAAAGAAATCTAATGCCACTATTTTGAAAATAAATAGATGGGACGTAACTATATACTTTTTTTATCGCATCATTTTTTGGTAACTCATTTAATTCTTTAAACATTCTAAAATAGATTATTAATCTTTTTGTTGATTTTAAAAATGCCGAAAATCTGACGAACATTTGAAAGAATTTTTGAAAAAAAAAAAAATAGAAAACGGGTTATTTTTATGTCATTATTGTTGTGCGACATGAGAACCTTCCAAGAAAAATCCCAAGATTGAATAATGGAAAGATGACTTGCACATTTAAAAATAGAAAACTGCACTATATGTTGAATGTTACAAAATTATTTACGTTGAGAGAAAATTGACGATTTTGGAGTTGTAGTTATTGATTGTTCAAAATTATGAGATCTCTTTATACATGTTGACTTATATTTGTCGGAAATATAATTGCCGAAACCGAAAATATTTTCGGCTGCCTTAATTATTTTATATGCCGAAATGGTATATTTTCATCCCTGTAGTATCAATATTCATAGAGTTATTCAGTTAAAATCAAAAAAAAATCTTTTACCTTAAACTGTAATAACTCGATATTATTTTGTAGCCAAGAATAAGGACTTTCGATCTATTATAGAAACATCTTAGTAGAAAATCGCTCTATATTTCGAGCGAAGTCAGCCGAAAAACAATTAAGGCAGCCGAAAATATCTTCGACATTTTCGGTATTATTATTTTCAAAGTAACAATGCAAAATATACAAGTTTTTAGTCATTTATCTAAATTATCTTTTATAATATTTAAAATAACATTACATTATATACAATATTATTATCATTTATACAAGTAATCTAAACAAATCCGCAATCAAATATAAACTTCCACATAAAACAATCATTCCATCTTCTTTCTCAGATTTATCATATGCTTGCTTTATCGCTTCAACAAGATTTTCTGCTATATTTATATCTGATTTACGATTTAATTTCTTCACTAATAAAACAATTTCTTCTTTTTTACAACAATTAACCCATGGCATGTCTTCAACTTTAGAAAATTCAACCGCAATTAAAGTATCACCATCTTTTACTAATGCATCAAGACATTTTAATACATTCTTTTCTTTACTAGCAGCGTAAATCCAATGAACTTTGGGAACTTTGGCAAACTCTTTATCTTGTAAAAGTTTGTCAACAAATTCTCGGAGTGATTTTGCTCCTTGAGGATTATGAGCTCCATCCACTAACAATTGTTTTGTTACATTTGTTACAGGTCTATTCAAGATAGATGAAACATTTACAAATTGTAGTCTTCCCGGCCATGACGTAGATGCTATTCCATCTTTTATATTTTCATTGGTGATGTTAGAGAATTTAGTTTCAGTCTTTCGCAATAAATCTATAACTGTAATTGCTGTAGTTGCATTATCTAATTGATAATCACCCCCAAGTGGTATATAAAATTCAATAAGTGTACCGTCTAAAAGTTTTAATGAAGCCAAACCTTTCTTTTGTGGATTCCATTTTGCAGGGGTAACAAAAATTGAATGGGAACAACCAACTTCTTTAATACAAGTTTTCAAAGTATTCAATGACGCCTCTTCAATTTGAGGTGCAATCACAACTTTACAACCAGATTTAATAATACCTGCTTTTTCTTTTGAAATAGCTTCAATGCTATTTCCTAAAAATGTTTCATGGTCCATTCCAATAGAAGTAATTACACTAATTAAAGGTTTTTCAAAAACATTTGTAGCATCTAATCGACCACCGATTCCTACTTCAACAATGGATACATCTACATTTTGAGCATCAAACCACCAATAAGCAGTAGCAACCAATTTCTCATATAAACTTGCATTAATATTATTGTTAGAATTAATAGTAGAGATAAAGTTATAAGTTCTTCGATAATCCTCTCTCGTAATTGATTCATCATTTATCTTTATAGAGTCACGAGGTTCAAGAAGATGAGGGGTATTTAATCTACCAGTTTTAAAATTTGTTTTTAAAAGAATAGAATCTATATAAGCAGAAGTAGAACCTTTGCCATTTGTACCAGAAATATGAATTGCAGATAATCGATGATGTGGATTATTGAGATGCTTTAAAAGAACTTTTATTTTATCAAGATTTAATTTGAATGAAATTTGTGACATAATTCTTAATGAAAATAAAAAAATATCTGGTAAAATACAAAAAAAAAACGAATAAAAATCTTGGTGGCTAGTCTATTTCCAAATAAAGAATGCACAATGAACGGGATCTTTGTTAAGCCATTCCCCATCAGCAATTATTATTTTTTCTTAAAAATGTTGCATCAAATTACAAAATTTTTCAGTAATTCATATTTTAGGAATTATTATCCAAGCTCTTTCGCATTTCCCATTAATAGTAATAATAACCAAAATGAAATTTTTGATTTTAGAAGTGACACGGGTAAATTTACATAATAAATAATCATAATTTGAATAATAAAGAATAATTTGAAATAATAATATGAATAATATGAAATGAATAGTTACAACTCCAACAGAAGAAATGTTCGAAGCCATGGTTAAAGCTAGTAGAGGTGATGATGTTTTTGAGGTATTAAATCTAAATTATATGAAATATTCTATGATGAACTTTCTTTCTTTTTTTTTTTTTGCAACTTTATTATAATATTTATAATTATTCTTTTTATTATAGGGAGACCATTCTACAAAAGAATTAGAAGCCTATGTTGCATATTTAACAGGATATAAATCAGCTTTAATGACAGTTTCTGGGACAATGGTATAATTTAATTTAATTTTTGAGAAAATCAAACAAAAGAAAAAACTGATCTTTAAAAAGTAAATATTAAAATAAAAAAATGAAAAAAGGCAAATCAACTAGCAATTCGATCTCACCTTTTACAACCTCCTCATTCGATTATATGTGATTGTCGTTCTCATGTCTACACTTCTGAAGCTGGTGGAATAGCTTATCATTCTCAAGCTCAGGTAATTCCTTTACAACCAAACAACAATATTCACATAACCTTTGATGAAATCTCATCTAACATAATTTCAAGTGATGATGTTCATTATGCTCCCACAAGAGTAATTTCTCTTGAAAATACTTTAAATGGATTAATATTACCTCTCAGTGAAATTAAAAATATTTCTGATACAGTTAGAAAGAAAGGAATTAAAATGCATTTAGATGGAGCAAGGATTTGGAACGCTTCAGCAGAAACAGGGATTGCATTAAATAGTTATGGAGAATATTTCGATTCAATGGCATTATGTTTTTCTAAAAGTCTTGGTGCACCTATTGGATCTGTATTAGTGGGAAGTGAAGAATTCATTAAGAAAGCTAGACATTTGAGAAAATTGTTTGGTGGAGGGTTAGTTCATTTCCCAATTTTATTATTATCTACTTTGATTCATTTTAGTTAAAAAAAATTTTTTTTTTATTTATTTCGAAGTTGGCGTCAATCTGGACCTCTGGCCGCGGCTGCAAAACTAGCAATCGAATCCAATTTTCCACAAAAATTAAAAGAAACTCATGAACTAACACGTAAATTCTCGGAAGGACTTTCTAAACATGGAATTATTATTACTGATCCTGTTCATACAAATATGGTATTCATTGATACCGCAGCTGTAAATATTACTATTAAAAAACTTGCCGAAAGTCTTGCACTTCATGGAATTCGAATCTTTGATAAGGAAGGTACAAGAACTCGTTTAGTAGTTCATTATCAAATAACTTCTCAAGCTATTGAAAAATTTGTTCAAATTGTTGGAGAAATTACAAAAAAATAAATAAATGACATATACATGTATATTAAAATTTTATTAACTTAAATAAATAAATAACGTTAATGCTTTGTCTATTTGAAATATTTGTCTTGAAGTGTAAAAAAAAATGGGATATAATACAAAAATTACTTAGAAGGAAATATTGAAATGTACAACAGCTTGAATATGATTTAATCTACTACTTTCATCAACTTTAATCAACTTTCATCTGTTAATTGACTTATGAATCAATCTGAATTGTTACTGATAAAATTTTATATTTTAACCTAAGAAGACGTCTGGCTTGGGATAATATAACAGATGGCATATATGGCTCAGCACGTTCATCTGGATTATATGCATGAAGACGAAGATGAGCAGTGAGAGCTGTCTATAAATATTAATAAATATTAAGGGATTAAAAATTATGAACAATAAGAATCAAATTTTTTTTTTAAAAAAAAAAAACTAAAGAATTAACTTACTTTGCCCACAGTTAAATCCCAAACTAATAAATAAAACAAATATAATAAATATAATGAATAAATTCAATTAAAATGAATAATAAAACTTACTATGTAAATCATGAATACTTTTTACTCCTTCAATTGATTCTAAATCAATCTGAACAGCATGTGCATCAATACGTGATGGAGTTGCTGTTTTTATTAAATAAATTAAAATAAATTAAAATAAATTAAAATAAATTAAAATAAATTAAAATAAATTAAATAAATAAAATATAATATAATAAATTTATTAAAATATCTATTTTTTAAACAACCTTCCATCAAAATTCTTATAGCATTTTTAAATATTCCAAAAGTTGTTGCCATTACTAAAGCAGAAAATAAAAATGTGCATAACGGATCAACCCAAGTATTTTTCTGATCAATCATAATAGCTATTGAAGAAATCAAAACTCCTATTGAAGATAGAAAATCTCCCAAAACGTGAAGCAAAGCCGCACGAACATTAACATTTTCTCCATGATCTTGATCACGATTATCATGTACATGACAATGACTATCATGACCATGACTATGGTGTCCTAATACAAAAATTAATCTGAAAGTAAAATTTAAATAAAAAAAATAAATAAAAGATATATTTAATATATTTAAGATATTTAAAATCTCACATTTATATATCATAATAACTTACAAAATATTAACCACTACCCCAATACTAGCCACAATACACATTTTTTTCCCATCTATTTCTTTGGGATTTTTGATACGATCATATGCTTCCACACATAGAGATACGGTAAGAAGCCAAATAAGTACAATTGATGTTAAGGCTCCCAAAATTTCAGCACGATGAAATCCGTATGAGTGTACTAGATAAAATTTTAAATGCATCCTTTTTTTTTTATCAAATAAAGAAATGAACATTTAATAAACAAGATTCGTTGTATTTACATTTAGTTGCTGGTCGTCGTGCGAGATATATAGATAATAGCGAAATCGCAAAACTAACGACATCTAAAGTTAAAAAGAAAATTTTTTTGTTTTAATTATTTACTTTTTCATTATAAATGAAGAAAAAAAAATAATGTATATTAAAAACTCACCACTCAATAAATGAAACGCATCACTTAATAATGCCAAACTTCCAGTAATAAATCCGCCAGAAAGTTCTATACAAAAAAAGAACAGTGATATTCCGATGACAATCCATAATTTTTTTGCACTATGTTTCGAGGACTTATTTTTAATGTACCCTTCGTCGTCGTCGCTTCCACATCTATCATCATCGTCAATACCATCAAATGATGTATATAATAATGGTGCATTGGAATCAATTGATATAACACTTGGATTGTCATGATAAGGGGTAATAATAGGTGAAGGAGAATAATAATTTGGAGAATTTGAAGATTCGGGTAGAACAGAAGTGTCGCCAGAAATAATTTCATTAGATTCACTATTTTCAAGGAAATAGTGGTCACTATTATTTTTATTATTATTATCCTTCATTATCTTTTTCATAAATTTGGTGTGTGTCTTTAAAAAAACACAAAGCTCTTCTGTAAAATAATGTCATTTTTTTTTTTTAAAAAAAAAAGAAAAAAAAGATTAAGTGTGTCACTAAATGTACAAAATGATAAAAACGATTTGATATACTTACAAAAACGGTAGACTTTTTTTTTTTTCACTTCGGAAATAACAAAAATGGCAAGCGTCGATATTTTTTTACTTCGGAATAACGAAACTTTATATTAGCCTCCTTAACTCCTTGAAGTACTCAATAGGAAAAGATTGTTGAAAGGATAAAAACTTTATCCATTTTTATGCCGAATGTGGCGTAGACGAGATATTTTTAATACCGAAATAGCTAATATTCTTCATTAGAAATATATTAATTCAATTTTTATAATTAACTTGGACAAAAACCTTTATTTTTAATAATAAACAAAATCTTTGTAAATCTATAAAAAGCATTGAAACATTTGTTTAATTAAAAAACGTTATTTCATTATCAAACTTGAAACACAAAGTCATTACCTAAGATGTACTGAAGGCTTTGTGTTCAATGTGTAATATAATGCGTATTTAACAATTAAAATATAAAGTATTCAATAAATGACACAGCAGCATTTATTGAGTATTTTTTTTTTATTCCTGTTTAAACTTATATCTAAGTTTAAAAAATTGTCATTCTTTTCTTCTCACCAGAAAATTTGTCTGTAAAAGTTAGCCACACTCTCTCTTTTGTTATAGAACTTTTTCCATTGATTCCCTTCGATATAGGAAAAAGAAATAATGCAAAACATGTCTCCAACTCAAGCACAAATACAACAGCATTCTTCCACTCATATGATGAAGACGACAAAGTCCGGAAGACCTTTTGTCAAGGTTGGTTTTTTTATTTTATTATGTTTCTGTGTTTGGATATAAAAATAGATATCGATAAGTTTAATTTGTCTTATTCTCGGTATTTAACAATAATATCATTAAAATATTAATATCTAAATAATTACTAAAATAATATCAAAAATAATATCGAAAATAAATATCTAAAATAATATCTATAAAATAATATCTAAAATAATATTTTCCACAATAATATCCAACATATTCAACTATAATATTCAAAAGAAATATATTTTTCACATAAAATTTTTTTTTTTTTTTTTTTATTAGGATATACATGATTTGTATTCGACGCTGGTCGTTTCATTACCCATGGAAACTCATCGAAACTTATTTCGAAGTTATTCCAACTCATTTACAACCGAAGAAGCTATAGCTAATCTTGGTTCCCTAAGATTCACACAATCGCATCGAACACCAGATCCTAAGGATCCTTCACGTATTATAACGACCACAACTACTACAACTTTCAGTATGACAAAAGAGATGGCAAAAAGTGTGTGTCAAACTTTTATGGACGCTAGACTGTTTGAAAACCTTTCCGACTCAGGCAGTCGATCCTTCAAAGATAAATGTGTTTATGGTCTAACGCAAAAAGGTTTATACGTATTGGAACGTTTCGTTACTAGAAATGGCATCTCTGCTCCACATTTAGCAAAATTATTTGCTTCTCAAACCATTCCAATTAGATTATACTTTATCGAACGACGTCCAGAAAATGATGCTATTGTCATTGATAGACAAAATATTGAATCTGTGTTTCGGCGGTTTGCAGGAACAAAACCTAATTATATTACTAACAAAGATATTGATGGGGTGACAAACCTTGATGGACAACATAATGAAGAAATCGATCGTAATCTTGGAATTGAGCTTAAAGATCGCCAAATAAATCATAAAACATATCAATATACATTTTCTGGGATGGCAGTAATTAATTGGTTATGCGATTTTTCAACGTTAATTACTAAGGAAGAAGCCATGGAGATCGCAACAGAATTTATTCAATATGGTTTCGTAGAACAAATCAGTGATAAAAGTAATGATGCAAAGAAAAGATCAGAAAAAGCCGATATTTCAAGCTTTAAATGTTCTAAATCCATTTACTACCGTATTATGACTCATGGACGTCAAGTCGCCTCATGGGATTTTCATGACGGTTATCCTCAACAATCCATAAACGTTTCAAATATTTCAAATGGTTTAAATGTTTCAAATGTTTCAAATTTTTCAAATTGTTCAAATTGTTTAAATGGTGTAAATTGTTCAAATTGTTCGAATTGTTCGAATACTTTGAATAAATTGAATAATTCAAATGGTTCAAATGTCGAGAATATAAATCGAGTTAGTGAAAATAATAATGAATTACGAGAGATGTCAAGTAATCAAAGTAATAATCAAAGTAATAATCAAAATAATAATTCTAATAATAATGATAATGAGAAAAATAAGCATAATGATGATGATAATAATAAAGATATTAAACGCCATAGATCACAAACTAGCAATGTTAGTGATAAAGATGGGTCTAACCATTTTACCACGAAGGAATCTAATGCCAAAAAACTTCAGCAAATTTTAGAAGATAAATATCTACGCACTCTTTTTATGGACTTTTTAAAAGCCAATTTTTGTGAAGAAAATTTATTGTTTTTGATGGATGTGAAAACATTTAAAATAAGATATAATACAAACATAAGTAAAGATGGCAAACCATTAAATATTCAAGAACAAGAAGAACTTGTGAATGATGCTTTCCGAATTTATAATACATATTTGGCTCCTGCATCATCTAATGAACTTAATATAGATCATGGATTAAGACAAAAAATGATTCAATATATGACTTCTATTGTATCAACGGGTCCTCCTGCAAATACGATAACGGGTCATTTATATGATTCAATTGAAGATACTATTTTTAGACTTCTTGCTTCGGATTCCGTACCCAAATTTGTAAAAACAAAAGAATATTTAGCATCAGCTCAAGTTCGTAAATCTGATGGAGAATATTCTAACACGCAATTACATAAATATAGTTCTTCAGCATCCACTAATGGCACTAATGGTTCTCATAAAAATTCAGTTGTTGATATTTAATTTGAGTTGTATTTTTATTTTTGTTTAAAAAAAAAAGTAGAATTATTCTCTAATTTGTAATTTGATTTTTTTTTGGCATTTGGTCTTAATTTTTTTTTTGTTTATATATAGCATTATGTATTTATATGTATACCTTACCTTATCTTTTACGTTAGATCTTATAAATAATAATTTTTCATTCTTTTAGATTTTTTTTTTTTCATTACTTAAAAATTTAATCATTTTATAATAATAAACATTACATTACTATTAATAATACCTGACGTTCGTTCTTTAACATTCAATATATATTAATTGTATTAATTAATCAAAATCATTTTTTGCTTGTTTTACACGAAATTTTTATAAAATAAACAAATAAAAATTCGTTAATACATTATTATTATTATGCATTGGTAAATTTCTTTTTTTCTCGAGATTTATCTTTTAATCGAATCGAATTATTAAATCGTCAAATCGCTTCTTAGTTTCTTAATTTGAATTAATCTTATATATTTGTAAAACATTGAAACTACTGCATAATTTACGTCTCGCGTAAATGCAATCAAAGTTCGTGTTACATAAGAAAGTAGTGGAACTGCATTTCCTAACTTCCAACTTTAAATGTAATATTTGGCTGGTTACATGTAATCTATCCAATCTATATTTTACTTTTCATTTCTTACAAAACTGACCTTTTTTTGCTTGCCCTGTCGCTTTTAAGTTGGTTAATATTAATAGCGAGTGACGTCGAGTAGCATGTATGGTTCTTTATTTTGATATTATTCTTTTAAAGATACGATATTAAAGAAATTTTTATTTTTTCAAAATAGAAAAGACGGAGACAAAAATATATCTTTAACTTTCCTTTAGTAATATAATAAGTCATAACATTTCTTGTTAGTTATTTAAAAAATAGTTTTGGTTTCAATTTAGGTAAGTGATAACAGTAATTTTGTTCCTCTTTTACCTTTTTTTTTTTTTCTTCATAACTTTCAACTCATCTCGAACTTCCAAAAGGTAATTGAAAACGCAAATACTTAACAATAGTTAGGAGAATAATAAATTATTGGTAAGTTTGTGTTTTTCTTTTTTCTTTTTTTTATGAAAAAAAAAACGACGGAAGAAAAAGCTCCTAAATATAAAAAATTTTTCTCTTGTTTACAATTCCTGTGCTGCGTAAAATTGAATCGATTTAAAGAATTGTAGGTTACACAGAACGGGTCGTCGATGAAAAATACTTTCCTCTTATAATTCACTTCTCAGGTGAGCTTTCGAGAAATTCTATGGTTTGGCATATTTTAAGTATAATCTTTTCATTAACCAAATATATTTATAAAAAATATTAGAGCATTAGAGCAGAGCTTATTCTTTTTTAAATAATGTCACGAGGAGATTCTGGATATATGAGTCAATATAGTTCAATATATAGTTCAAAATCTGATGATAGTTATGATAATTTTGGTTTTGGTGAACTTCAAAGTTCAATAGATAATTATAATTATTTGCATCGTGATCCAACATCAAATCAAATACAATCAGAGTATCAAATTCCTAGAGTATCGTCTCTCTATGAAAATCAGAATGGGCAAGCCTCATCAGGATTTATGGGAAAATTTGATGCATCTCAGGGTTCAAATCTACGAAAATATCCACCACCTAATACCATGCTTAATACTAAGGTGCCCCAAATAACTAATGCTCCGGTTTCTCCAAGACCTTCACCCTCACAACATCCGTCGTCTCCTAATCCTTCATTACGGTTACAGCACACCCATCAACAACAAAACAATTACAATTCAAATAATTCAAATGTAAATTCGAACACTTATTCTCCACGACCATTCCAACCAAATAATAATTATTCGCCACAAAATTTTCCACAATATGAGCCACAATATTCTCCACAATATTCTCCACAAAATTCTCCACAAAATTCTCCACAAAATTCTCCACAAAATTCTCCACAATATTCTCCACAATATTCTCAACAAAGATTACCATCAAATACCCCGATTCCTGTTTCTCAATATAAAAATCATCGATCAATGCAAGCAAAGACACATAGACCAAAACCACCAATTGTTCGATCCAAAACATATTATGATGGTCAATTAGCGTATTCTGAGTTAAAAGATCAATCAAAAGATTCCCCAAAAAATGTTCCAAAGAACATTCCCATTTCAAAGGATCCTCCACCTCAATTGACTGATAATCTAAGGGCTTCGACATTTGATTTTACAGAAATTCATTCTTTTATTGACCATTATTGTGACGAAGGTGATGATGATGTCAATAAATCTATAGATAATGAAGTAAAGCCTGGTTCGATACCCGAAGGTATTTTACAAAATATTATTATTAATATTTATTCATTTTAATATTTTAATATTCTAAATTATTGCTTTAATAAATTCTTCATTAATATTATTAACGTATTTTAAACTATTCTTAGAAACTATAAAAAAACGTAACAGAGAAGCCGCAGTTTCAGAGATTATTACAACTGAACGATCATATGTTGATGGTTTGAAAAAACTTGTCACTGTTTTCTTGTTGCCCTTGCATGAAAACTATAAGGCCAATCAAAAGGCCGGTTTATTATCATCAAAGCCTGTAGCCTCTTCTGAAGATATAAATACTATATTTGGAAACATCTCTCCATTGTTAAATTTACATGAACAATTATTAAAGTCTCTGGAAGAAAGGTAAATTTTTTAGAATTACAAAAGTACTTTATATTTATAAGATTTTTATCGTGCCATGACTCTTAATAATTAATTTATTTAATTTAATTTAGGCTTGCAGAATGGGATTCAAAAGAAATTATCAGCGACGTATTTTTACAAATCGTAAGTATGATTGATATACAATTCTTAAATATATAAAAATCAATTTTAATTAAGATTTTGACAAAATCTTAAATTAGGCACCATTTCTGAAAATGTATACGACATATTTGCAAGCATTTCCTCATGCAATAAACACTTTGGAACGTCTTAATAAAGAAAATAAAGAATTCAAAAAATTTCTCCAGGTATTTATAACTTTAAACATTTTTCTTAATAATTGAATTAATTTACATTATATTTATTAATATATTTAATTAAATAGTATTGTCAAGGAAGACCTGAATTAGGAGGGTTGCCTTTTAATTCTTTCTTGAGTCTGCCAATTCAACGAATACCACGTTATAAGTTGTTATTAGAAGCTTTGTTGAAGCACACTGATGCATCGCATCCGGATTATGCAAATCTTCGGAAATGCTTTCAACAAATTGGTGAAGTTGCAGATGAAGTTAACGAAAAGTTAGTTCGACTATAAATACAACACATAAATTAAATAATTATTCATAAATTATTTTTAAAATATCAAATTAATTTTTTTTTTTAACATATTTTAGAATTCGGGATGCCGAAAATCAACAAAAAGTATTGGAAATTCAATATAAAGTTGAAGGATTGGCAGGAAATATAGTAAATCCGGCCCGAAGATTCATTTTTGAAGGCGATCTGTATAAAGTTAATTCAAGAAATTCAGCAACAAAACCATTCTATACGGCAACACAGGATATAAGAACACATTTTTTATTTAATAATTTACTCTTATTTTGTATGAAATATCAAGGAAAACTTACATTCAAAGGACAAATAGATTTGAACCGAGCAACACTAAAAAATATTGAAGATGATATAGCAGATAAGCCATACTGTTTTCAAATAGTTACTATAACGCCTTCAGGAGAGGCAAGACATACAGTTCGATCCACAACTGCAGAAGAGAAAGCTGGATGGATGAGTAGACTTGAATCCGCTTTATCAGGATTAAAAAATGTGATAAGAGGACCTGATGCTGGTCAGTCATTTTTGATATATTTTTCAGTATTATTTTACATAATCTTTAACATCTACAATGCCACATTCAATAACAAATTAAATATATTAATACATAAAAAAAAATATTTTAAAAAATATAGGATTTGTGAAAACTCTTTCAAAAGGATCACCGAATCGTTCACCGAGTTCCAATCGATTACAAATACCAAATTTGTTGCATCCATCTGCTGAACCACAAAAATCTTCAAATTTTTATAAACAAACAACTAGAGCAGCTGATGACTTATTCATTAGACCTAATAAAAAAAATCAAAATGATCAACGAATGAAGGAATTAAGGCCTCAAGTATCACATGGAAATTTGAGAAATGCTGCATATAATTCCCCCATTTCAAAGTCAGTTACTAATTGACATAAAAATTTATTTCACTTTTAAAAGTTTTTCATGGAATGAAATGTTCCATTGAGTTTAAACTTATGTGAATTTTTTTTTTATATAATAGACTATTATATTGTTTAAATGCTTAATCATGATATTTATATATAATGTTTATAATATAATATTTCTATATAATACTCTCGAGTTGTAAGTTTATTTTTTCATAGAATGTTTATAAAAGATATTTTTCTAGAGAATTATTTATTTTTGTTTCCAGTTTAATTTAAATCAAATATTTTAAATATTTTATAATATAGATAGATCCAGTTTTTTTTTTTGCATAATTAGCATTTTCATCTCTATTTAAGGTTGGGACAATTTGTAAATGGACAAATCAATTCAATAAAACAATTTTATGAACATACGACAGATAAATAATAATAATTTCAAGATATAAGTAGATAAATGATTCTAAGATATAAATAAAGATAATAAGAAAAATAATTTCAAGATATAATAATTAATAAGTGATTTACCAATTCCAAATTTCACGAAGATTTTCAAACGTGGTTGATGTTTGTTACACAATATACACAATGAAAAAAAAAACGCGTTTTGTTTTCTTTTTTCCTTTGTTTGGTATTTGTTAAAAAAATTGACCTTCTCAATAATATTTGTATCCAATATCTAATATGAATTTCTTTAGCCAAATTAATCAAATGGAACAACAAAAAACTTTTCAAAATAACAAACGTCTAAAAACAGAAAAATCTCAAAATATTCAAAATACTGAAGATGATGAAAAAGATTTTGAGCCTATCCTTCTCAAAGATTCAGTTAACAATAAACGAAAATTAACACAAATAATACAAATAAATGATAGAAATTTTTTTACTCCTATAGAAAAATCAGTATTATTTGATAAATCGAAATTTTATAATTCAGGTAACTTCATTACTTCAAAAAAAAGTGATAAAAAGTTGCCTCAAAAAATAATTTCACATTATCAATCCGATATTTTCCATATTTTTAACAATGTTAAAGATACCAATCAATCAATAATTACATCAAATCAATCCAATTTTATTCATTTTATTCGTACAAATAATCGTGAGATGACTTCATGTTCATATCAACAACCCAATATTGTCTTTACAATTCGTTCAGAACTTGATCATAAATCTCAACCAAATCGACAACCGAATATTATTCTTACTGCTAATTCAGAATATATTCTTGAAATAAAATCCTTTCATTCTAAACTAAATTCCATATCTCAAGAAGGAATAATCCCATATAATATTTTGCCTAATTCAAATTATATTAATTATATTACTCCACCTAATAGAACTCAAGTTTTAGATATTTTTTCAACAGGATTTCGGAGATTAAGTCTACCAAATAATAAATTTCAAGAATTTATTACCAATTATGCACATATTCTTGATCAATCATACTTTAAATATATTGGTCGAAAGAGTAAAAAATTCAATCCCCCAGAATCTTTAAATTACAGTGATTATTTCACAAACAAATTTATTATTGAGAAAGTTATAGGTTCTGGGGAATTTTCCATTGCATATAGAGTTAAGGATAAAAAAACAAATACCTTATGTGCAGTTAAAAAACGAAAAGTTCCTTTTGGATCTCACACTGAAAGATGTGAAAATTTAGAGGAAGTGGAAATTATGTGGAAATTAGGAAATCATCCCAATTGCATTCAACTATTCGCTGCTTGGGAACAACAAGGATATCTTTATTTACAAACGGAATTATGTGAAAATGGAACCCTTGAAACCTTTTTTAAGAAAAATAATAAATTAAATGATTATCAGATTTGGAAAATATTTACAAACATCGCATTTGGTCTTGAACATATTCATAATTGTAATGTTATGCATTTAGATTTAAAACCAGGAAATATTTTTCAATCTTCAAATGGATCATTTAAAATTGGAGATTTTGGTCTTTCAGCAAGATGGCCACCTCATCCTGATCTTGACAAAGAAGGGGATTGTCGATATATTTCATTTGAGGCTTTAAATAACAAATACGACAAATCAACTGATATTTATAGTCTTGGAATAATTTTAATTGAGATGATGGAAAATATTTCAATGAGTAATAAATTGGCAAATAAAATTAGATTGGGTAATTTATCTAAACTTAAATTTGAAGGTATGACGGACGAAATTATTTTATTAGCGAAATCGATGGTACGAGTCAATCATAAGGAACGACCAACTATTCAACAAATTGTAAATACAATTAAAGAAAAAAGTATATAATAATTCATGATATTTTTTTTTGTATTTTTTTTTTTTTTAATAATAAATTGCTCCAAATAAAAATATAATCCTACTTATTTTAACATTGGATATTATTTTAGCTTGAATTGTCATAAAACTTTTTTTTGCGTATTTTATGAATTAAAAAACTCGATTTGAAAATTTAATTATTTAAAATCATTTTTTGAATGCGTAATAATGTATAATGTACATGGATGCAAAAAAAAAAAATACATATAATACATATAAATTTCTATAAAAAAATGCTATATGTATATATATATACATATAATGAGAGTAAATACAAATAAAAAGTCTATATATACATAAAATCTCACATTAATTACATTTTTCAGGAGATTAAAGAAAAAATATATTAAAATTCTAAAGAGAGTAAAAATCTATGTACTTTTGTTAAAAGGTGAAAAAAAAATATTTGAATTAAATGATGATATTCTATAAAACTACGAATTCATACTCCAAAAGAATATAGCAGAATATATAAATTTTGAGCGTATTTTTATCAGGAAATGAAAAAGAAATTTTGAACATATTTTTATCAGGAAATGAAAAGGTTATTTTTAAGTCAAAAAGAATATAGAGTGAAAACATTATACCGAATAAAATAACGAGAACAAAAATGTTATCTGTGTACATATTAATTTGTATATCTGAAACATTAAAAAAGCTTAGATATAACCCAAACCCATTGTTAATTTAATGTTCCAGACGCTTTATAAAACCTAAAAGCAAATACGAAAGTTATCAGATCGGCGGTAAGTAATAATTATTTAGTCATTTATTTTAGTCCTTTTTGAGGACATATTTTCCTCAGATAACTTCCTTTTACTCAAGAGAATTGGAGTAATTTCTTGAATTATCTTTGGGAACGTTTTTTCCGATCGTTCTTGTACAGATAACATCCTTCTGATTCTTCTAGTTGGGAATTCTTGATGAACGGACACGCCATTAGATGTCTTGATCTTTCTTATAGAAGACTGTGGTGCCTCTTGATGATCCAGCTTCCTTCTATTGTGTCTTACAAGAATCTCGTGCGTTCTGCGAGCCATATTGTTAAATTCCGAGGGAACATTGCTAGATTCTTCTCGATTATGATTATGATGGGACACGTTCTTAGATTCCGCTCGGTTATTATTTAGAACATTCCTAGATTCTGTTCGATTATGATGGGGCACATTGTCAGATTTCACTCGGTTATTATTTAAAATATTTCTAGATTCTGTTCGGTTGTGATGGAGCACATTGTCAGATTCCACTCGGTTGCCATTTAGAATATTCCTAGATTCTGCTTGGTTATTATTTAGAATACTTCTAGATTCTGCTCGGTAATTATTTAGAATATTCCTAGATTCCGCTCGGTTATGATGGCGTATATTGTCAGATTTCACTCGGACGTTATTTAGAACATTCCTAGATTCTGCTCGTTCATTATTTAGAACATTGGTAGATTCCGCTCTGTTACGATGGGGAACATTGTTAGGCTGGACTAAGCTCTTATGAGATACGTTACTAGGCAAATTACGGGCTTGACCATCACGAGGCGCATTATTAGATTCAGCTGCGTTACTACGAGATATATTGCTAGATCTGGTTTGTTCGTCGCGGGCCTTTTTAGATAAAAATAATTTTTATTAATTTTTATTAGATTTCAATAAAATTTATAAATTTTATAATTAAATACTTACTTTGATACATGGTACGAAGTGATTTGTTTGAATAAGATCGGATTTCAAGAAAGTTATTGCCTTTTGTTTATTGGTGACGGATATGTTTGTCCAAAAGATGTGTATTGGATCATGATAAATTTCTTCATTATCATTATTGTTATTAACATCTAATCGTGGCTCAATTAGTTTATTGTAAGTATTGATTAAGAGTCTTTGTTTGACTGGTGGAAAAATGGAGCAGATTTTTCTTTGTAAGACCGAGGAAAGGCCATAGATGGCAACCATGCCACACCAGTTTCCTGGTTTACAGATTAATGATAATTCTTGTAAATAAACAAATTGTTTATCGAACTCTTTAATATTGTTGTTATTGTTATTAAACTTTTCAGCAGTTTGGAAAGCTTCATTTGAGTAAATTATTGATTTCTTGAAGATGGGGACGTTTAAATAATATTTAATATTTTTCATTAATTCAAGAACCGTTAAAAGGCGGAATTGCGAGGCAATCTTTTCTGTCCCTGTGATTAACAGGGAGGCGGAATTGAAAAGACAATTTCCGTCCCCTGTTGATTTGTAGCATCTTAAATGATGATATTCTGGGGGAAGAAGCCACTGAGCCCCCCTATCTTCTTTTGTCCTCGGTAATTTGGAGCAGTGGAGGTTTACGTCAATTATCGAATGCTTTGAGAACTGGTTGGCATAGGATTCTATTTGACTTAAATTTGTTAAATTCTTTTCTTTTTGAAGGAATAACCTTATTCGATTCAATATTTGTAAGACCGTTTCAGTGCTCATTTTGGAGAAGGTAAATGTAAATTTTAAAAACTTTCAAAAGAAAAAATAACTATTTGCTCTTGTAAGTAAGTAAAAGCGTTTTTAAGGAGCAAGGGTGCTTGTAATTAAAAGTGAATACGTCGTAATATAATAAATTTATTCGTGAATAAGTGGAAATTTGACTGAGGCTACGGAAGAGGTGTACAAAATCTAATTAAATCTACTGTATGAAAATTTATCGCCGTTATCATGTGATGCGTACATTATCCTATTATCTAATTACCAGTTCAATGCAGTTACAAATATCTGATTTGATAATTTTTGAGTCACAATCCGCAGAGCAAACAGAAATGTCTACCACTACTAATAATAACGATAATAAAAATATTAAGAAAGATATTAAAGAAAATAAGGAAGATATTAAAAAAAATAAGGAAAACAATAAAGAAGACAAGGAAAAAGATAAAGACAAGGAAAACATTAAAGAAAATATCAAAGAAAATAGCCGAAATGAATTGAAGAATGATGATAAGCAAATCATATTATTAATAATATTAATAATTTTTCGAATATTTAATGCCCTTATAACAAATACTTATTTTAATGCTGACGAGTATTGGCAATCAGTTGAAGTTTCGCATTATATGGTTTTTGGATATCCAAAGAAATATTATCTATTTATTTATAAATAAAAATTTACATATATATACAATGTATAAATATAAATATATTTATATTTAATTATTTATTTATTCCTTAACGATCTAAATCTTTCATCCAAATCATTGATCTCATTTATTGTTATATTTATTGGTATTAATAACATATGGATACTTGACTTGGGAATGGAAACAAAGAATAAGAAGTATAATTCATCCCTTGATTTTTGCAGTATTATATAAGTGTTTAGAGTTATTTAAAGTTGATAATACAGATTTATTTGTAAGTATGTTTTCCTTATTTTTAACATCTTTATCAACATCGTTAATAATTTACTGGTACCCCTTGACTAGCATTTTTTCTTTAAAAATCACTAATAAAATTATAAATTTATATATTATTTATTAAAAGATATATGCCCCTAGAATATTACAAGCAATCTTTGCCGCCACTGGTGATTTTTATACGTATCGATTAGCTAAAAAGTTCTTTGGAGATTCAACTGCAAAATGGGCTGTATCCTTAGATTCAAAATTATAATGAAAATTCTAATCAAATTTATAACATATCTATTTCTTTATATCTATATATATTATATTTAATTAATATTATCACATTCTTAATTAATTAACATAGTTATTTTGTTCTATTATTTCATGGTTTAATTTCTTTTGTTCAATTCGTATGCTATCAAATAGTTTTGAAACAACATTAAATATTGTTACATTATATTATTGGCCTTGGCCTTCATTGAATAATTTAAAAAATTGGGAAGAGAGAAAGAAGTATATATATTATATATTCTTGCATTATATTATTATTTATATCATTTATATTTCAGGCATTTACATATTTTTTTTTTTAAAAAAAAATTTTAATTTTAGGCAATTACGTGTTTCACTTTGTCTAGCTGCCATATTATGTATTATTCGACCCACCAGTGTAATCACATGGAGCTTCCTTGGTGTTCAATTACTTTGGAAAACAAGAGATCACATGTTATCAATTATAATGAATACTTTTTCTATATTGTCAGTATATGTCTATTCTCTCTCTCTATATATAATTTTGTATATTTATTATTTGTTTATTCATATAAACTAAAACTTTCTCAATTTTTTCTCTTGATTCTTTTAATCAGAATTATTTCAATATCATTAATGATATATATAGATTACTTATTCTACGGTTCTGTAGTATTTATCCCATTCAATTTTATACATTTCAATATAATTCAATCCATTTCATTATTTTATGGAATTAATTCTTGGCATTGGTATATCTCTCAAGGATTACCAGTAATTTTAACCACTTTAATTTCTTTTATTATTATTGGAATTAATTCTTCTAGAAAAAAACCTCATGATTGGCAGTATATTAAACCTTTATTACAATTAATTGCTTGGGTAATAATAGGATATAGTATATTAGGACATAAAGAATTTAGATTTTTATTTCCTTTATTACCGATTTTTATAATTATTGCAGGATATGGATTACAAGAATTACAAGGAAATTCTGATGATACTAATAACAATAATAACAACAATAATAACAATAATGACAATAATAATAATAATAGCAATAATAATAATAAAAATAATAATAGTAAAAATAATAATAGTAAAAATAATAGTAATAATTTTAATTCACAAAAATATTTAAAATTTTCAGTTATATGTTTAATATTAACAAATTTACCATTAGCTTATTATGCAAACACAGTACATCAAAGAGGTGTGGTGGAAGTAATGGATTATTTAAGAAAAGAAGTAGATAATAAAAAAGTGGAGAATATTGGATTCTTAATGCCATGTCATTCCACTCCATTTTATAGTAATCTACATAGAAATATTGCCATGTGGTTTTTAACTTGTGAACCACCATTAAAGTGAGTTATATTAAATTATTTATTCATTTTTTAATATTAATTATTTTATTTATTCATATTAATATTAATTCTTTTTATCCTTTATTTAAAAGCATTTCTTCTCAAGATTTTGATCAATATATGGATGAGTCAGATCATTTTTATGCAAATCCTTTAGAATTTATAAATACTCATTTTGAACCTTTGCCTTTGATAAATGATAATAATTATGATTATTTGGTTGATTCATTTGACAACAACAATAATTCATTAAATAATAGTAATAATAATGAACTTCGAAAGTGGCCAAGTCATTTAGTGATTTTTGAAGCATTATTACAAGATTTAGGAACTTTACTGGAAAAATCAGTTTATAATCAAGTAAGATAATTACTGATCTATTATTAATTATTAATTTATTATTAATTATTAATTATTAATTTATTAATAGTGTGCAAGATTTTTCAATTCTCATTTTAATGAGGACTCAAGAAGAAAAGGAGATGTTATTGTTTATTGTAGAAATGCTGAATAATTTTTTATTCTTGTGGATTAATAAATTATAATATTCTCTTATTCTTTTATTATTTTTATTGACTGATAGAAATAATTTGTATTACTCATTATCTATTTATTATTTTTATTTTTATTTAAATATCAACTGTTGAGCAAATGAAATAAATCATTTTGACAATAATATTAAAAAATGAATGAAGGAATTAACAAATGAAAATGGATTTTTTAAAATAAACTTAATCACTTCAAAATGGTAATAATTGCTGATGTAAAAATAAATACTGTGTTGTGTGAAAAATTATCTATTCAAGATTTTCTATTTAATGAATTTTCAAAAAAAAAATCATAAAGAAATTTCATTTATAAACAATACAAGAAATTCTATTCATAAATTTAATATTTTTAATAAACCCACACGCACTTCTCATCCAGAAGTTTGTATAGCTTTGCTATAAAGAAGTATTTGGTTAAAAATAATTAATAATAAATATATAAGTATTTCATGTGAATAACGTGCGTGCCGAGTATCTGCTCACTTTCTTTTTTTCCATTGTTTTTGTTAAAAACTACAAATTTTTTTAGGGTATTATGGTATATATCTGTTTAATTATTTGTATACTTTGTTTACTACTTATTTTTTTTTATAGCAGCTGTTTATTTTTTTCGCTTTCAATATTTGTCAACTTCGTTAATTAACATATTTTTTCTAAAACATTTATTTATTTGTCGGTCGGATTATGCTGTTTGTTGTTCGTTTATTAACTGATTTTTCATTATTGTTTTTTTGCCACAATGATTACTAGTTACTTTATTTCAAAATAGGCTCTTATGAAAAATATCTAGAACCCATGATTTATTGAACTATATACGGTAAATATGTAAAAGTGTCATTCACTTTTAAATTGAATTCATTCACTTTAAATTGAATTCATTTCTCTTTCTCTTTTTTTTCGTCTATGTATTATACATTGTATATACAATAAATAGATATAATAAATAGGTCAATTTATTATTTTTATAACGCAAGAGTGATATAAAAAAGGAAATTGATAAGCGTTTTATAATAATTCGAATAGATCACGTGAATTATGGTATAAACAATGAAATTTTTATTTGTAGGTTTTAGATGTAATGATAATGACCAAGTGATTACATTTCTTTAAACAAATAAAAAATTGAATATAAAGATTTTCTTTAATTTAATTAATTAATAAATAAAAAAAGGGAATTAATTAATAAAAAAAGGGATTTCTATGTATGAATTATAAACGGAAAGAGATCTACATATAAGAACTCATAATCGTTCTCCATTAATATCATAAAAGGCAATGGTTTCTGATTTAAAAATATTTTTAGTTTCAAATGACAATGTCGATAAAATAAAGAGATATGCGATTAAAAAATAAAATTTAATATATAGCTTGCCGAAATCCATTATATAAATCTTTTCCGTTTCTGGCGAATCCCGAATTAAGTTGGTTTTTTTTTTTTTTTTTTGTTTATTTTTTGGATTGACTAAATTTAGCTAAGTGGGTTTTTATTTTATTTAAAATTTTTTTTTTTAAGTTTTAATGCATACAATATAATATATTTTAAAAAAATATTAATGGTTTTTATTTACTAATATTGCTTTCAAGTTTTTTTCTTTTTCTAGTGATAGAAATTATAGATTAATAATTTAACTGACTGAAAAAGAATCCTATATAGATTTTAATTAATTGAATTATGTAAATTGAATTGAATTATTAAATTTAATTTAATTTAAAGTTTCTTCTCGAATATAAATTTCGATTCTTTAATCCTAATTTGTATCCATTTAAAAATAAAGATAAGAATGAAATTACCTTTTTCAAATTAAGCATATGTATTGACTCATCTGATTCAAACTTTTTTTTTTTCCGTCCAATGAAGAAAGAAGACAAATTCTATAGTAGGATAAACTCATTTTATTTTACATATTTAAGGGATTACTTAAAATACGAAACTGCATTTATCATTGGTTGATGTCACCAGACCATTTTAGATGAAGAAACTTAAAAATGTATGCGACGCACTTTAATCTTAAAAAAATAATTCGTCGAAAAATAATAATATATATATATATTTATTTATTTATTTAATAATGGTGCGAAAACGAAGAAATCAACAAAATAAAAAAAATCGAACAGATGATTCTAGTGTTACTGACGATACAGTTAGTGACTTTGGTACCAGTAGTACCGCTAGCTCAATAAAACGAAAATCTACAGGAGATTCTTTGAATTCTGAACCAAGACATAAACATAGTAATTCACCTGAAGAGGTGGAACAGTTGGTGAATGAAACATTCTTTTTAAAACATGAAGATAAAAGACCTTTCGTTAGCAAAAAACGTTTCGTTTTCGCTGCTGGTATCTTCATTGGTCTTATCATTGCTTATGCTGTAATGTCACCACAAAATCCCCACTTTAAGATTTTTTCCGATTATCTATCAGAATCTTTCATTGACTTGGATTTTAGTAGCATCTTACCAGCTCATATTTTAGTAGAAGAATTATTTGGAAATATAACTTTATTTTTGAGACCAAATATTTCACTTTTAGAAGATACAGAATTTTTGCCTGGGTTAAATTTAGCTGAAAAAGGAGTAAAGGCCCAATTTCCAGTAGTTTTAATTCCCGGAATTGTTTCAACTGTAATTATTATATTTTAATCACTTTCTATTTGATTTTATGTTCAGAATTGTTGAATTTATTTTTTTCATAATATTTAACAATAATGAAGGGCTTAGAAAGTTGGAGCACATCTAATTGTTCTCGACCATATTTTAGAAGGCGAATGTGGGGAACGACAAGTAAATAAATTATTATAATTATTATTTAATGTATTTTCAAGCTAATTTAAATGTTTATTAAACTTATTTTTTTTTTCTTATTTTCTTTAATTTCTTAATTAGCAATGTTTCGTGCTGTATTGTTGGATAAAGAATGTTGGAGAAAGCATATGAGACTTGATCCAGATACTGGATTGGATCCTCCAAATTTTAAATTACGAGCTGCTCAAGGTTAATAAACATATTTCATAGAATTATTTTAATGATTCCGAGAAAAATTGAGGAAATATGAGCATTTAATCATTTATATAATATAAATTATAGGACTGGATGCTGCAGACTATTTATTTCCTGGGTATGTAGATTAATTAATTTTCATATTTAACAAGCAATCGAAAGAACCATTTTTGACAAATGTTATCTTTTATATAATAAAGATATTGGGTGTGGGGTAAGTATTGTGTTTATAATATAACGTTTTAAGAATATATATACATTTTTATAATAATTTTCAAAATTTCTTTATTCGAATTTCCTTCTTTCATTTTAAGGTAAAATGATACAAAATTTTGCCGCAATTGGATATGATTCTAATAATATGCATCTTGCGGCCTATGATTGGAGACTTTCATTTTCAAATTTGGAGGTTAGAGATAAATATTTTTCAAAACTTAAATCGAATATAGAATTATCAAAGAGAACAGAAAAGAAAAAGACGGTCATTGTTAGCCATTCAATGGGTGGGTTTGTGGTGTTTATTTTTATTTATTATTCATAAAATTCCAAAACTCATTATCCCCACTTTTATCTTTTTGTAGGTTCTTTGGTGGCATTGTATTTTTTTAAATGGGTAGAATCTCCTTTGGGAGGTAACGGAGGATCAAGTTGGGTGAATGATCATGTTGAATCTTTTGTAAATATTGGTGGTCCTTTATTGGGATTACCAAAAGCTTTATCAGCACTTCTTTCTGGTGAGAATAATAATAAGATTAATATAATTCATATATAACACATCTTGTCCGTGATTCCAATATATTTAAATATTATAAATATTCTTATATAGGTGAAATGCGTGATACTGTAGAATTGGGAGCATTTGGAGTTTATGTTTTAGAAAGATTCTTTTCGAAACTTGAAAGGGCTGAACTTTTTCGTACTTGGGGTGGTCTCTCTTCAATGTTGCCAAAAGGTGGTGATGCTATATGGGGAAATGTGACCAATGCTCCCGATGATCGAGATGGATTAATAGAATCCTATGGTCCTATTTTGAATTTGCGTTCAATAAAAGACAATAATAGTAATGTCGTTAATGAAATCAATATTAGTGAAGATAACGAATCATTTAGGAGTAGTAAACACACTTGTGTATCAGGAGTAGAATTCTTGAAACAAAATTCAGATGAAATGTTTAATAAGATGTTGAAGAAGAGTTATAGTTTCGGAGTTGTTAAATCTCAAGAAGAATTTCAAGATTCTATAGATCAAACAAAATGGACTAATCCACTCGAATCACAATTACCTAATGCACCTGATATGAAAATATTTTGTCTTGTAAGTTTATTGTATTATAAATTATTATTAATTTTCCATGCGAAAATATTTGATCAATTATTATTATTATTAAATATAGTATGGTTATGGAAAAGATACAGAAAGAAAATATTTTTATAATTTTGATCCACCCGCTGGTGAAAGAATTCGAATAAGAGATTTGTTAAAACATATATTTATCGATAATACGATGAATTCCGATAAAGATCCATACTTGAAGAGTGGTGTGCATAATGGAGAAGGGTATAACTATATATCTTATATAATTTGGCGCAAAATTCAAATTGAAATGCAAAAATGAACAATGTGTTTAATTATTATTATTATTATTTAACTACAGAGATGGTACAGTTCCTTTGTTATCTTTAGGATTTATGTGTTCTAAAGGATGGAATAATCCACTATATAATCCTGCTAAAATCAAAGTAATCACTCGAGAATTTGAACACGAAACTGGAGCAGCACTCGATCTTCGAGGTGGAGCTAAAACAGCTGACCATGTCGATATATTAGGAAACTACGCTCTCACGGTAAAGAACTCATAATTGAAATTAAGAACTTTGCAATTGATAAAAGATTCATTATTTATTATTTATTTTTTATCTTTTTATTTGTTTTATAGGAAGATGTTCTGTTGATTGCTTCTGGAAATGGGGATAAACTTGATGACAAGATTACCTCAAATATTCTTAGTTATGTTTCAAAAATCGACATTTGATGTGAGAATTGCCAATTTGTCCATAACTTATCATTATTTGAACATTTTTTAACATAGATAATTTATAAATATATATTTTAGATAAAAAGTGCATTATATAATCACTTAAAAAGGAAATTATTTATGTACACAAATTATATTATTTTGTAATATACACCCAAAATAAAGTTGAAACTTTGTCATAACTAACGCGTACCTTATTTTAATTATTTTAATTGCTCATTTTTTTTTTTAACAAAATTAAGTTTCGAAAATTAAAAACATTAATCTTATAAAATAAAATTTCTTAATCTATGCCCCAGGTATAGATTTTATGTTTGGTTGATCCATAATTTGTGCAGGTGATCTGATTTTCACGTGGATTAGAGTTTGTCAGGGTAGCAAAAGTATCGTTTTTGATTATTTTTTGACGTGCAAAAACTTGAGTTGTACCCAGGGGATATTTTGTATGGGGGAGGGTATTTTGCTCAGCATGGGTTTTTGTTTTTCAGATAAAAATGGATTGATATAATAAAATAGTAATAATAATAGTACTATAATAATAATAATAATTCAAATAAATTTTATTTTATCAAATCCGATCGTTATAATACCAGAGTACATTTCACAGGGGTGCTTTGCCCTAGGGACGCATTGACCAGCGAATTAGGTAATTATTCCATGGCACGTGGTTTAATATTCCTATTAACCTAGACGCTAAAGTATCGTTTTTGAGACACCTATGGTTATTTTTTTGATACATCAAATACGTGTGACAAAAATGGTCATTTTTTATAATTGTTTTATTTATAGATGCATCTATATCAAAAAAATAACCATAAATATATCAAAAACAATACCTTTACAACCTAGACACAAGAGTCTAGACTCTTATCCTAAATCCTCATATGATATTAAGTTAAATACATGGATTTGTCAGGTAGTATATTCATCACCATGTATCACACCCTTCGAATATTGATTTTTATTAAATATCCTAAGGACAGAGAATTTTTTTTACATGCGGAAATCATATTTGTCGTTAAGGTATCGTTTTTGATAGATCTATGGTTATCTTTTTTGATATACCCAATATACACGTTACTAAAAAAAAGTTTCTTAATAAAATCACGTGATATATACTTTAAAAAAAAAAAAAAATTATTTATATAGGAGAAGTCTAGACCCGGGGTCTATTTTATCAAAAAACGAGTTGCATATAAAGAACAAAAAGAATAAAATCCCCGATACTCGATTGGCCGATTAACAAAAACGTTTATACAAATCAAAAATATCAAAAATATCAAAAATAGCAAAATTCTCCGATTTCTTATTGTTTACAAAAATTCAAAATTTTGTACAATCTTGGGCGAGTTATACCTTCCTTTTCTTTTTTTTCTCATGTTCATAAAAATAAACCATCATGAATACAAATAATGAAAATGAAGGCCTACAAGCCTTCAAATTTTTTATTAACACAATCAATAATAATTATAACAATAACGACAATGATAATTATAACAATAACGACAATAATAATAATAATAACATTAATACTAACGATAACGACGTTGATAACAGCAATAACGCCGAAGACGAAGGAAAACAAGCGTTCTTGTATTTTCTCGATAATATCAATAACGATTCTAATAATACTAATAATAACGATAATATTATTAACAATAACGATAATATTATTAATAATAACGATAATATTATTAATAATAACACTAATATTATTAACAACAACAACAACAATAATAATAATAATAAAAGAATAAAACGCCTTCCAAGGTACTTAAATGATTACAAAATTTACGGCTTAAAAAAGAAATCGTTAAAAAGTAAAATATTTTAAATATTTTGGGTTTCGAATTAGTATAATACTTTTTTTAGCTTTAATTAAATTATGATAAATTAAATATAATCATTATATAGAGTTTAATTGTAAACCATAATAGAAAATGGAAAAATTTACTATCCAAATTCATTCAAACTAAAGTACTTTTAGAATCAAGATAAATTTTTTTTTAATTTAGAAATAATTTTATATAAGAAGAAACAAAAATTTATTTGTTAAATTTACTATATTTTTTGTTTTTTTTTGAATTCCGTATTATACGCGTATCCCCAGTCCCTTAAAAAAATATAATTATTAAATCTACAGTATATGCATGTACACTTTCCATCAATTTTAATTTTTATCTTTTCATTTCCTTTATTTATTATTTAATGATTTAATGATTTAAATTTTCCCTTATCAATTTTTATTTTTCATTTCCTTTTTTTTTTTGTCATTATTTATCTCTGTTAAATTACAATAAACTAATAAATAATTATTGATAAAATCAAGAAATTTATGCATCGTTTTGAGAATTTCTTCCAATCAGATGTGATGTTTCATAATAATAGCATTTGTTTATATTGTATTTTTTATAATTTCATCTACTTTTTTTATAGCTATTCTACATATTTTAAATTTTATTAATAATAATATAAAAATTTACATAATTATATAATAACTGAGTGGGATATATGGATTTTTACACTAATAATATAAATAATTAATATTAAGTCAATTGATTTATTTCAAAAAAAGTAATTTTAAATTCCCCTTTTTCTAAAATAATTTTTAAATCTTCTTTACTTCCAAAATTCTTTTTTTTGTTTATTTCGGATTATTTTTAATATTAAATTCTGTTCTTAAATTTATTTTACTAAAATGTGGGGTTACGTTACACTTTTCTTTGTTAGAATGAAATTTCAATTGAATAAATTTGAATGAATCTATATAATGTAAAACAATAATTTAATATACTTTAATATATATATATATTGTATTTACTTTTTCTATACACTACACTTTTTATATATGTATAATTTCTATCCACTTTATTCACTTTATTATACAGTGTTTGCTTTATTTATGGTATATTCGTAAACCATAATAGACATAGTGAATCATAATATATGCATATAATGATCGAAAATATTAATAATTTTGTTTCATTCCAATAACAGTAAGTAACATTGAAGGGACGATGATTGATGATTATTATTATTATATTATTATCATTAGATTACAGATAGACCTGTATAATTGAAGGTGGAGCGAAACTGATCTTGACGAATTTTGGTGGTGATTATAAGCCTAGGTAATTATAATTTATAATTATATCATATAGAAAAAATTTTTTGGGACCTAATAAAACGGTGATTATAGGTAGTTGGTGATTAAAGACAGTGTGATTATATACAGGTCTGACTATATTCAGCAAGCAATAGCAAAGATGACGGAACGTAAACAATTATTATTATTATTATTATTATTACAATTTTATTCCGAATAAGTTATTCAATATAATAATTAAGATTAACTAACATTCATTGGTGATGTTTATCTGTTATATAAAAAAATAATAATAATAACAATACAAAGATTTTCCAAACAACTTAATTATTTAACAAATTAATTCTTATTATTTATTCTTATTTACCCAAATTTGGGTAGCATTTTTGTTATGAATACGTATTTGGTAAATCATGTGAAACATTAAATCTTTCCTCATATTTATTTCTCCCTCTCGTTGATAAGGACAGACGCTAAAGAAATAAATATAATTTTAAGAAGATATTATGCAGGGAAGGTAACAAGTTCCCATCTTCAATGAGTATATAAATCCCAATCTTCATGTTGAAAAAATTTTTTGGTCTTTAAGAAAAGTTTTTTGATTGAAAGTTTTTCTGAGATCCAAAGTTTATTATTATTATTAATTCAAAAAAAGAAAAAACGTTAATCGATAAAACAACACAGCGGTGAGATAAAAATGAAATTAAACGGCTGTTAGTAATTACACAAATAATTTGTATTTAAAAAAAATAGATAACTTCCTCATCCTTTTCTTTTTCTTTTTTTTTCATTTTCTTTTTCATTTTCTTTTTTCCTTTTTTTTTCCTTTTAAAATTCTTTTTTTAAAACAAAATTTTTTACAAAAAAAAAAAAAAGAAAAGTATACGATGCTTAGGATCTATAGATTATATTTATCTATTTATTTTCTTCTTTCTCTTTCACTTAATTTTCATAAAAATAACCATCATGAATACAAATAACGAAAATGATGACCTTAAGGCCTTCGTGTTTTTTATTAACACAATAAATAATAATTATAATAATAACATCAACAACAGAAATAATAATTATAACAATAATAATAACAATAATAATAACATCAACAATAATAACAACGACGACGTTAATAACACCGAAAACGAAGGCAGAAAAGCTTTCCTTTATTTTCTCGCCAATATCAATAACGATGTTGATAATATTTAATAATAACAATAATAATATTAATAATAACACTAATATTATTAACAACAACAACAACAGCTACGATAATAATAATAAAAGAAACTCCTTCCAGGGTATTTAAAGGATTACGAAATTTATGGTTTTTTTTTTTTTTTAAAAAAAAAAAAGAATTCCTAAACGCTCCATTAATTATAATAACGATCATGTAAATTGATCTGCATGAACTCAGTGAAAAGATGATCTCAGATTTATCGGCGACTTAAGTAAACTCAAAGTTTATGATTTACACCTATAATGGAAATAAGCCATATTTAAGTTTAATCCTTTTAATTAAATATTTAATAATTATAAGAAATTTATTCTTTTTCAAGCTAAATAACGTTTTTCCGAATTATATAAAAATTAAAATTATACAAATTGTCTCTAAGCATTGTAATTAATAGTAAATTTCATTACTTTTTTTTTTTTTTATTCCAATGTTTTTAAGTTTATCTTCAGCAGGTTCAATATTCTTTTCAAAATTCTTTATTTAACTTTTTGTAATAATAATTATTATATTTGATATTTCTTATAGATATTTATGCATCAACATCTGATTCTAATTTAAAGTTTAAATATTGTTTAATCTGTTATTTCCAATTCCCTATCTAATTTTTTTAATGACTATATTATTGTCAATATTAGAACTATTTTTGGATATACAGTAGCATCATTAATGAAAAATGAATTATGAAAAAATTATGGTCAAATACAAAATAATGTTTCATTGTGGATATTTAATATATTCAATATTAAATCTCCAGGAGAAATAAACATGATCATTGATAGTTTCATTCAATATCATTGAAAGTTCCTTTCCCTTTAATCTTCTCCTTTTGTTCCTTTAAATTTCTTTAATATATTATAAACTATAATTTGAAATTAAAATAATTTCAGTAAAAACTGAAATATAAACAGTACATTTAATACTAATGTATACAAATTTGTTAATGTTGTTGTTGTTAATCGAATAATTATTTTTACATATATGTTATTGTTAAAAAAAACAAGATTAAAATTTTACCTTTTAAATTCCAAAACATTCTTTTTCAAGTTGATATGTTATTAGTAAATAATAAAATTCTATACGGACAACGATTGGTGTTTATTTTCAAATTTTTTTTTTAATATTTAAGTTTTAAAATTTATTGTATAAAATGTGAGGTTACATTATTTTTTTTCTTTGTTCAAGAATTTTTAAAAAAAAGTATAAATAATAATCCTTTGACATATATACTTTATATATATTATACTTTTATATCTACTTTTAATTATTATTCGATTTTATTAATTTAGTTAGTAATTATTAGTTTTAATTATTTTAATTAACTTTTTTTTTGATTACTCTTATGGGTCATTTTTCTCAACAACAGTATATAAACAAAAAATTTTAAAATATTAAAACTTTTTTGGGGGGAACAATCAATACGAACCAATAACGAATCAATAATGGTGAAAATGGCAATAAAAAAATAATACGCGTTCATGCATGCATGCGCTCCTTGACATTTATATATTGGATTAATACAAGAATTTTTCATTTATCAAATCTACCATTCTCTTTTATATATAATTGTTGCTTTGCTTTTCATCAACATGCAAGAAACTAACCTTCTTTAATACATAAAAGGTCATAGCATGGTGTGCTTGTAATATTTGATTATTATTTTAATCACGTTACTAGTAAATATAATATGTTGTGGATGCGATAGGTGATAAGGAGAGGATATTACATATGTAGAGAAAGTAATGAATAAGTATACAAATTGTATACTACAATTGATGATCACGTTACTAGTGGAACTAGTAATATATAATAAACGTTGTAGATGTAATAGGTGATTAAGGACTGACGCAAAGAATCTTAGAATATTAAGAATGTTAAGAGGATGTAGACAACTCATTACATAATAAAAAATTTTACAATTATAGTTATTCCATTATTTGTTTTTTATTTTGAATCCGCGTGATAAAGAATTTACTTAAAATGTATTTATTTATTCATTATTATTATCATTATTTTCTTTTTCATTGTACGATAGTTATTCATTTACCAATGTTGTAGATGATTATGCAACTAGTGGATGTAATATAAAGTATATTAAAAAAGGGTATCATGCAGGGATACTCATTACATAATCACAAATTTCCCAATTTTGGTTTCTATTTGTGCATCCAGCGTGAGGAAAGTAATATTTTGTAACGTTGTAGATGTGATAGGTGATAAGGGCGGACGCTAAAAGAATATTTGACGAATATTGAGAGGAAAGTAATCAATTCCGAATGAGTATACAAATTCCCATCTCAATGAATAAATCACCATCTTCCCTTCTTTGTCAAGTTAAAAAAATATTTTGTCTTTGTTAATAAAAATTTTTTTATTGAAAGTTTTTTTTTTTTTTCCTTTAAGATTCAAAATTTATTATTGTTAATTCAAAAAAAAAAACCATTAATTATAGATAACAAATTTCCATCTTCAGTGAGTATAAATCCCATCTTCCCTTCTTCTGTCAGTTAAAAAATTCTTTAGTCTTTGTTAATATCCTTTTTACTTTGAGATTCAAAGTTTATTATTAATTCAAAAAAACAGTTAATTATAAACGACCGATAAAACATCTATCTAGTTGTGAGACAAAAAAGCTTTCTTATTGACTGGGATAAACAAACTTTTCTATTGGCTATTACTGTGCTCAACAGCTATTTAAGTTAAGCTCGCTCATACAGTACATTCCTCCGATCGACGGGTTTTATTTAACACTTTAATTATGGTTTCTTCTGCATATATATGATAGACTTGTGCTAGGGTCACGCGATATTTATTTTATTTGTAAAAAAATTGTCTTTGAACGAGTCTCTATTGGCATTTAAAAAAAGAATAGATAAATATAACTGCCCTACTTTTCCTTCTTTTCTTTCTTTTCCTTTTCCTTTTCTTTTTTTTCCTTTTAAAATTCTTTTTTTAAAGCCTTTATAAAATAAATTTTTTGTAAAAAAGGAAAATATGCGAAGTTTAAGATCTATAGATTATTTTTTCAATTTATTTTCTTCTCTTTCACTTAATTTTCATAAAATCAAAATAATAAAAAAATCATGAATACCAATAATAAAAATGATGGACTACAGGCCTTCACGTTTACAATAATTATAATAAATAACATTATTAATAACAATATTAATAATAATGAAACGACACCGAAAACGAAGGCAGAAAAGCGTTCCTATATATTTTCTCGCCAACGTTAACAACAACGATGCTAATAATATTAATAATAACGATAATAATAACATTAATAATAACAAATATAATTATATATTTCATTAACTTCATTTCAGAGCAACGGTTGTGACGTATAGTTTTTAATTCAATTACTAACCTCGTGAGAAGAAAGTAATCTAATTTGCAATAGTAGACAACCTTCTCTTTATTTCTTCCTCTTGTTCTCGTTTCATTAATTCACTAAGACTTTTTGCAGCTGAATTTTTTTTCATGGGTTAGCAGTTCCTTCATTGCTTCAAGGAGATAATTCCAAAATTTACTAGTCTTTTTATTTGTCCTTATTAATAAAATGATAACTTAGCAGTTAAATTCAAATGTTCAAAAAATTATTATATAAAATTTAAACGTTTATTATTCACTCAATTCTTAAGACATAGGTTTAAAACTTTTATAATAGATTTTAATTTTTTGTAATAATAATAATTATATTTATAATATATCAAAGATCTAAAAAAAAAACAACAGAGCCTCGCCCCCAAGAAATTTTATTTAATTTGTAAAATAGTTACATCGTAAGCTATTTAAAACAAAATATATATAAAACTATAAACTTAATCTACGGAACAGCCCAGTGGCCAAATGCCAGTTAGTATTAAAAATATCGTGTGACCCATTTTTAGAAATTTACATTTTTATTACTTAATTTTTATAATTTGATGCATAAACATTGAAAGATTGTTGTGTAATTATTTTGACTCTTTTTTTCTAAAAAAGCCAAAAGGAAATATTTAAAAGAAAGAATGTTATAATAAATAATTATTTTCTCATATGATTACAATGATGATGAAATGTTTTTATAAAGTAAAATTTTTCTTCTTTTTATCAATCGGATCTATAATTTCTTGGTAAGCATAGTTTTTTAAGTCTACAATAAAGTAATAACGTGTTTTGAAAATTTCGGAAGTGTTATTTAGCCTGGAAAAGAATAAATTTCTTAAAATTAGATATTTAATCTAAAATAGCAATACAGTTGTTATTAATTATAATGTTTAGATAATATTTGTATAATTTAAGTTTCGTAGAAGTTATATTAAATACTGAATTAAAAAGATATTAATTAATTAATAAAAATTGATTTGCGCCTTAATTTAATAATAGGTGAATATTTTGTTTATCATTATAATTTGTTCTTATTTAGAATTAAAGCTAAAAAAAAGAAATGTATTGTATGTCGCACTTTTACTGGTTTCTTCCTTTTTTTAAACCGTAAATTTCGTAATCTTTGAGGTATCCTGGACTGCGTCGAGTTCTTCTATTGCTGTTATTAATAATAATATTATTGTTGTTGATACTGGCGAGAAAATATAGGAAGGCTTGTCTGCCTTCGTTTTCAATATTATACTGTTATCAACGTTTTTGTTATTAATAATATTGTTATTATTAATATTGTTATTGTTAATGTTATTATTATCATTGATGTTATTATTATTATCTGTTTTAATGAGAAACATGGAGGTCTGTAGGTCTTCATTTTCGTTATTTTCGATAATTGAATTCATCACCATGAAAAACAAAAAAGAAATAATCTATTCCTTTATTTCTCTAAAAAATTTTATTTTGTAAAGGTTTTAAAAAAAAAAGATTTTTAAAAGAAAAAAGAAAAAGAATATAATATTTTCTAAGCTTCAATTCTGTAGGTTTGCTTTTTTTTTATAAAAAAGGTTTATTTTTTAACAATAATCTTCAAAGGAAAAGGAAAAAAAAGAAAAGGAAAAGGAAAAGAAAAGGGAAGAAAAAATTGACCAAAGACTCGCTCTTTTTGTTACAAATAAATAACATCGCGTGCTTTTCATGCAATGTAATCTCTGTCGATCAGAGGAAATTGATTGGGGGTTGAAATCTTATTCCTACAATACACAACTTATCGAAGGAAATTGATTGGGAATTGAAATGTCACTGGAATTGGAATTGAAAGAAATTTTTTTATATTATAGATACGTTTAATTGTTTATTTGTTACTAAATTTGGGTTTGGATTATTTTATATAGTGCATTGCGTATTAACAGATTTTTAAATGATTAATTTTTTGCGTAGCACAAAAGAATTTTTTTAATATTATAAAAATTTCTAAAATGACTTCAACAATGTGGTTTTATTATAAGGCTATTAGTAAAGTATGCGGTATTTTTTTTTTTAAAATAGATTTAAAATTTTAGGTAACTTTGAAAGGTATCCTATCTATTTTTGGAGGCACATTGCATTTCATTAGAGACATTAGAGACATACAAATTTACATTTCATTATCGTTTCATTATATTTATTTAGTTTAATTTGTATTCTACATGCGCAAGAATTATAATTTTATATAATAAATTTTAAATTTACTATCGCTAATAGAAAATTAAATATTTTACAAAAAAAATATTTTTTTTTTTTATTAAAAGATTTAAAAATTGAAAGCTAGTATGAATGGTGATAATCATAAAGATAAATACATTATATTATTATTATTAAGTATATATGTAGAGTAGAAAGTGAGAAAAAAAATGTTTATATTGGCTAGTTTTTCCATTAAAAAATCATTGTGTAAATTCGAACGCAATATTATCACAAACTTGAACCGACATTCCTAAACAAGAATAGGAAATTTTACAATAAAAACTCCAAAAAATATTCGCAAATTTCTTCAAAACTATTCGCTCAAGTTTATTTTTTTAAAAATGCTTACCACTTATCAAGTTGATAATTTTTTTGGTTTTATATATGAAGCCACTATGATGGTAAGTAATTGCAAAAATATTTTGACATATATTTTTTTAACATACATTTTTACTTCTTTAAATTTAGGTAACTTTACATAATCTTATCGTATCTATCGCTTTATACAAAGCTCGTAAATCCAATATTTCTAATATCAACAAAATTATCTTGAATCTCATTATCATGACTCTTTTCATATTCATCTACCTGGGTAGATTTAGCTAGTTTATACCTACCAATTCTTTAATGCATTCATTTTCTTTCCTATTTTGTATATTGGAAAAATTGAGCAAATTCTTGGAAAAAGCAATGTTGTCACGTGTTGAAAGATTATATTTTTGGAAATCAATTTAGCATAATTTAATATGGAGATATCATGTATTTGTATCTTACTCCTTATTCTTTTTTTCGATATTTCACAAAGCAACAAAGATGTTATATGAAATTGTCGTATATTTCTTTAGTTTTGTATTGGGCGGCTTTTTTCGTGAAATAAAACCTCGTGGATCGCATAAAATACCTAAGGATGGACCAATTATTTTTGTTGCGGCCCCACACGCAAATCAGGTAAATATATAATAGTTTTTTCTTCCTCAATATTCGGCCTGACCATAATTAAATTTATTTATTGACATTAAAATTATTATAAAATTATTTATTATTATAAGTTCGTTGACCCATTGATTTTAATGAAAAACTGTCAAAGAAAAGTTTCTTTTCTAATCGCAGAAAAGTCTATGAAACGTAAATACGTTGGTGCCATGGCTCGTGCTCTTAATGCAAGTCAGTCCATATAATTTTTTTTTTTAAAAAAAAATCTAAATATGATAATAAATGATATACAATTAACTAAATTTTTATTAAATGAAAGTACCCGTTACCAGACCTCAAGATCTAGCCAAACTTGGAGAAGGAAAAATTTATCTTAAAGATCGAGTGAAAGAACCTACTCGAATAAATGGAATTAATACAAGATTCACAAAACAATTAACAGTGAAAGGTCAAATTTCTTTACCGGATGATCGTGGTTCATCAGAAATAATTGAAATTATTTCAGATACAGAATTACGAATAAAAAAAGAATTTAAAGATTTAAAAGCATTAGAGTTATTGACACAACCTGATGGAACTTTTTATAAATGTTTACCACGTATTGATCAAAGTCAAGTTTATGAGGCAGTATTTAAAACATTAAATGCTGGAAATTGTATAGGAATATTTCCGGAAGGTGGAAGTCATGATCGAACAGAAATTTTGCCTTTGAAAGGTTTGATCAAAATTTTCAACATATCTTTAATAGATTTAATTTCACTTAATAAATAAATAAATAAATAAATATTTATTTATTTATTTATTTTATTTATTCATTTATTATATAAATTAGCTGGAGTAACTGTTATGGCTTTAGGTGCTATGGCCAATAATTCAAACTTGGATGTTAAGATTGTGCCATGTGGTAATTTATAAATATTTTAAATATTTTATTGGATTATATTTATTTGATTATTTGATTAATTTGATTAATTTGATTAATTGATTATTGATTATATGGATATTTTATAGGATTAAATTATTTCCATGCTCATCAATTCCGTTCTCGAGCTGTTGTTGAATTTGGTTCGCCTATACAGATTCCTAGTGAATTGGTAAAAAAGTATCAAAAGGATGGAACAGAAAAAAGGGAAGCATGTAGTGAATTATTAAAAATAATTTATGATGGATTAAAATCAGTAACAGTCAATACACCAGATTATGATACATTGATGGTAATGATCTAATTAAATTAAATTAAATTAAAAAGTGGTAATTCATTTATCATATTTAAATATTTTTAAAATTTTATATATATTTAATTATATTTAATTATTGCTTTTTATTTTAAAAGGTTATCCAAGCAGCTCGTCGTTTATATAAACCCGAGCATTCCAAATTAGAATTAACTGAAGTGACAGAATTAAATCGACGATTTGTTGATGGTTATATTAAATTTAAAGATGATCCACGTGTTCAAGAGATGAATCAAAAAGTTATCTCATATAATCAATCATTAAAAAATTTTGGATTGAAAGATCATCAAGTTCAGAAAACTACTCTTGGAAGAACTAGAGCTTTAGTATTGTTAATATATCGAATATTCCTATTGACAATATTGATTACGTTAGGTTTTCCTGGGTATGATTATAATTACTACTATTCTTACTGTAAATATTCTTTTCTGTATTATTTATTATTTTTTCGATTTCAAATATTTTTATGAACCAAATTTTGTTATTTAAATATTTAGCGCTCTCTTAAGTTCTCCACTCATATTTATTGCTCGCAAAATCAGTGCTAAAAAAGCAGCAGGTTTAAATCTTTGTATAATTAGCTAGTTTTAATCATATTTGATCTATTGAGATTTTTTTTTTTTAAATTCAATTTTAAATTGGTAGATGCTTTAAAGACTTCAACTGTTAAAGTAGCAGGTCGAGATGTATTAGCTACTTGGAAACTTCTTGTCACACTTGGAATCGCTCCAATCTTATATGGATCTTATGTTATAATATTTTCGATTATAGTTTACAAATATAATTGGAGAATATTAAATTTTGGAATATTTTATCCATTAGTTATACTTTTAATTCTTATGGTGGATAGTTATGCGACATTAAAATTATTTGATACTGGATTAGATATATACAGGTTTGACTTTATTTATTATATCTTTAATCATCATTTTACAATTGTTTTAATTGGTTATAATTCGTTGTAATTGATTATTATTATTATTATTATTATTATTATTTTATCATATAGATCTCTCCCTCCTCTTTTCTTATCCCTTTTACCTTCTCATAAAACATCGATGCAAAGTCTGCTAGAAATTCGTGATCAACTTTCTTTAGATTTAACCGAATTAATTAATGATCTCGGACCTAAAATGTATCCAGATTTTGAATCTGCACGTATTGTCAAAGAAACAAAAGAAAAAATAAATAGTCGATCCGCTTCTCCTTCACCATCACCATCTAGACCTTTATCAGCAAGTTCACTAAGACTCCGTTCATTATCTGATTGGTTTGAAGATAAAACATTTGATTGGGAAAAGACCGAAGATTCTGATTATGATGATGTGTTCTTCTTCATTGACCAAAAAAGTGGAGGTAGAATTACTGGACGTAGTAGAAGAAGTTCTGGTAATATAAGATATAGTGGAGAAGGAATTTCAAATAATAGTACAACTCGAAGTAGATCGAGTTCATTTAATTCCAACGTTTCTAGTAGTGATGAATTAAAAGTTGAAGGTTTCACCAAAGTGAGTATGGCTAATATACCAAGAATCGAAATTAATGATGTTGAAGATTCTGGATACCAAGGAGATAAGGAAACTGCAGAAATTGAATCAAAAAAAGATGTGTAAATCAAAAATGCTAACTATTAGGTTTAAATACCAAATAAACTTTTTGTAAATTTAATTTATTCTAATTTATTGTTAATTATTTATTTTGAGAAACAATATTAATAATAATAAGTATGTTTAATTGTATTTATAAAAAAAAATGTCTTGAAATTAGATTCTTTTCAAATAAATTTCAAAATAAAAGCATGCATGAATCAATTGATTTAAAGCATAAATTTTGACTATACATTTTTATTATAATTTCTGATATTGTTGTTATTAATGTTAATTTGAGTTATAAATTAGTGTAAGTTATCCAAAGATCAAAATATATAAAATATCAATTGCTATGAACGAAAATTCATCCAATTCTTCTTTTTTTAAAATGTTTAAGAACCTCCATTGAATTCATAAATTTACTAATAACTATATTATTACTATCTTCACCTGAATCAAGTACAACTTTAGAACAAGGAAATACAACTTGAAGATGTTCTACTATGTGAGAAGAACAAGTTTCTAACATATAATATCCGTTTTCAGAAAATTCCGTAAATTTTGAAGGATCAAGACTTTTGATTCCATTATATAATTTTGGTTCAGCTCCATCAGAGTAAAATACAATTTTGATAGGTGCCACACGAAATGACCTAGATGCATCTAAAACAATTAATTCAATTGTCTTAATGAAATTGGCAAGAGCTATTGCAGCAGAATTATATACTTCATCGAAAATAGATTGTTCAGAGATAAACGTATAAATAGTGGGATCATCATCATCCATTTGTTCTTCATCGATAACTTGTTTATTTATCGTTATGTTGTTAAGGTTGTTATTGTTGTATTGATTAGATAGTGATTGTCCTTCTAAAGGTTCTTTATTCTCAAAAGTCAATGAATTGGAATCATTCTCTTGATTGATAATTAAATGATCGGGATTTTCGAAATCATTTTTTACCTGTAAAATTGTAAATAATCAATTCAAAAAATTATTATTATTTTTTTTTTTCGTTTTATAATCTTTATGGATTATTTTCGAACCTCGTTAACATTATTTACATCATTTCTTTCGTTAGTATCGTTTGTATTTGATTCAAGTGAAATAAATTTTTCAGATGAATCATCCGAAAGAAAGATATTATTTTGCTAAATTATAAATTATATAAATTTAATAAATTTTAATAAATTATAAATAAATATTTTTTTTTTCAGGAAAACGTTACGTACTGTATCCAATTCATCACTTAAATTGTCATCATTATCTTCATCAGGTTTATTAGTGGCAGAATCCGAAGTTTCGATTATTTCAGGTTCGTTGCTTTGTGATGATGATTTTGAATTTTGAATTTTATTAAGTTGGTTTGAATTTTGCTTTTTTTTGAAAAATTATATGAATGAATGAATGAAACGTTCGATAATCAATAAAATAAAGGTATTTTTAATTAAAAGATTTTATTAAAATCTCTAAATATTCTAAAAAATGATAAAAATAATTAAAAAAACTTACATTAGTTTTATCTTTTGCTTTAACCGGAAATTTTTTCATGAAACCTTTTGGTTTTCTAAGAGTTGTTATTGTAACCTATAAAGATCGAAGACAATACAAATTATCAATTAAATATATTCAAATCTATTCAAATCTAATTAATTGTTATAATATATTATACATACTGTTTTCTTTGTATCAGAATATTTTTGAGGCGATTCCTTCGTAGATCCATTGCTCTATACGTCAATTTTTAAAAAATAAAACTTTTCAAAATTTTTTTCAAATAAAATTTTAAAAGATATTAATTAGGGCAAAAATCACTTACACGAATTCTTTTTTTTCCTTCGTTATCATTGTTATATAAATCCATTAAACTTTTTTTTGAAAACGAAAAATAAGAAAATAATTTTTTAATAAATAAAACTTGATAATGTAATAAAGTGCAAAGAAAAAAAAAGTTTAAAATGAAAATTAAATACCAAAAAAAAATATTTACATTTTTTTTTTTTAAAAAAAACAGTGCTGCTGCTAACCATAACATAACTTGATTACGGTGGTGATATTATTATTTTTTAAACATGATTTCAATTCTCGTTCTTCATTATTATTATTCATTAGTCATTAATGTTTACGCGTAACTAAAAAATAACGTAATTTACAATTTATGATTTCAAGAAAGAAATAATTATATTCTCAAATTATTCTCAAGGTTGAATTAAGTGAAATATAATAAAAATATTTTTTATTTTACAAAACGAGAGAGAAAGGATTTGTTCATTTTGTCTACATTTTTTTTTTGAATTTTTCTATGACCATAAATTTTTTCCGCCGCGATTTCATCGTTCGAATTAATAGAAATAAAAAATAAAAAATCAAGATATTTATTATATAAAAGTTCCTAACGATTGCAACATTTAGTTTAGTTTTAATTCGCGATATTTATATTAGATATTAGACATGGGAATAACACTTTATTCAGATATCTCAAAAAAAAAAAAAATAGAACGTATTTTTACAATTATGGATTGTTTTAATATTTTCATATATTTAATATACTTCTTATTGCATTATTAACATTTATTCTTTTTAAATCAAAATTTAATTTAATTCATTTAATAAAAAAATAAAAATAAACAAATATGTAATTATAAAAGTTAACCCAAGAAATTATAATAACACAAATACAAATAGTATACACCAAAAATAATATACATTGATTTTTCAATAATAAATACATTTAATTAATTAATTAAAAATAATTAAAATAATTTAAATTTCCAGCCTTAAAGGAACCATTGGAGGCATTCCATCATCATCTTTTACACTTTGTCTATTTTGACTTCTAACAAAACCACGAATAGGACCAGTTGAACCATTTGGATTTTTCTTATTTAAATTAGAATGATTATGTTGTGAATCATTACAAATTGGACATTGTGGACTAGGAGTCATTGATCTAAGAATTATAGTACGACGAACTTTAGGGCCAACTCCATTTATTGATGATGATTTGTTAATATTTTCTGGTAAAGGAAGTATTGTATCTGCATCAAACAAACATTCTTCATGATATGCATGTCGACAAAAGAAAATTACATATTTTCCAATGTTTTCTGATGTGTTGGCTAAAAATAAAAATAAAAAAATTACATCATTATTATAATATATCACCATCATTACTTATTATTTTAAAGAACCAATACTTGTGAAAATAAAAATTACCTTCTTTAATTATTGAACTAGAACAAATAGAGCAAACCATATCCTCTGTAAAATAAATAAAAATAAAAAATTAAAGTTAAATTTCATTAAAAATATTAGAGATCAATTATTAAATTATTTTAAATTATTTAAAGTTTACCTCCACATGATATTCCGCGTTTTTGTGCACGGATAAGTTGGTCAGCCATTGATACACTATCACTTACTAATATTTTCTGACATCCTTCTCTCAAAGATGCCTGATTTAAAAATAATATAAATTATTTTGTTTATTATTATTATATTGAAAAACCAAAATAAACAATAAGTAAAATAATAAAATAATTAACCTGTAAATTATAGTCATGAAGTACTTTTATTAAAGCCTTTTTAAGTTCCGGAATTTCAAGACCATTAGGAATACGTTTGATTAAAATAATTGGATCTAACCTCGTCCCTCCAAGATTTTCCAACAAACCCGTAATGAAACCTAAAAATGATTATATGTTAAATTATTAATTCCATATTTAATTTGTAATAAAAATATAAACGTGATAAATGAAAAATATAATCAAACATAATCAAAAATAATTAAACATAATCAAATATAATCAAACATAATCAAATATAATCAAATATAATCAAATATAATCAAACATACGAGGTTTGTCTAAAGAATATGTTAATAAATCTTCCCATAAAATATCATCATCTTGTTCATTGACGAAATCAATAGCCTAATAATAAGAAATTAATTTGTATGAATATAACAATTTACTAATTTTATGATTAAAAGATCACAAATAACAATAATAACAATCATAATAATAACAGTCACATACAAGTTGGACATCTCCCAAACGTTCTATAATTAACATAAGGGCTTGTTTGTTATTTCCCATTCGTCCAAGGACGAACACCATTTCTGGAACCAAATCTCTTTGTTTACAAATTTTATACGCCTAATATTAAAAAAAAAAAAAAAAGTGAAAAGTTAAGAATGAACGGAATTGCTAATTTATGATATAAAAAAAATAATATTAGAAAGAAAGAAAGATACCTTTTCAAAATCGTAATAATTACTAGAACGTAGAAATTCAATTAATCTAGGATAATCATATTCTGCATATAATTCTACCTATAAAATGTAAAAGTTTTTTTATTAGAATATTTAACCTTTTATTAAGAATTAAGAAAAAAAAACATCAAATAGAAAAGATGAATAATTTATTAATCATACTTGATCATCGTGGAATTCATAACCTATATGATGATCTTTATTAAACAAAGCATCCAAATATGTATGCAAATATTGTTGGTGAGATCTTAATTGGCTTACAACATGCCCGATCTAAATAAAAATAAAAATACAATTTTTTTTTAAATTCATATTTATAAAAGAAAATAAAAGTTAATTTTATTCATATACGTACTGGTATTGATTCAACATTTTCCACTAATAATTGTACTGCTGGCATTTCAATATCTTTCTTTGACTTTGATTTTCTAACGGGTTCTATTTTTTTAGAGGAATCTTGTTCTTTATTTTCGGCTTCTGTCTCTAATTGGTTTTTTTTTTCTGATATCAAATATTGATCGAAATCCATAAGAAGAACTACTTTATCTTGTACAGCAGAGAATAAATTATAATTTCTTATTAAGTCAAACACATTTGGCCTTCTTAAACGAAGATTATATTCAAGAGCCTTGTCAGGTTCATTATTATGAGTATATCTATATTATAAAATAATCCAGTAATATATTAATTTAAAAATATAAATATATATTAAAATCTATTATTATTATTATTATTATTATTATTATTATAAAGATAACTTGATAGCTCACAATTCAGCAAGACATTCCATCAGGATTTTATTATCAGGATCTTTTTCTACAATATCTTCAACTAGAACTGTTACACTTGATATATTGTAAATTGTTGGTGGCCATTTCATTATTGTATCACATAACGCCTAAATAAATAATTATGGATTGTTAAAATAAATTTTATTATTCAAAATTTTTTAAAGCAAGAATAAAAATATTACCTGGTGATCATTATTCAAGAAATGAGCTAACACCATTTCATAAGCCGTGCTACTTAATTGCGGGTCGGGGCTTTGGAAAGGTATATATGGAGTTATTTCCTAAATTTCATAAATATAGTCAACAGAGAATTTTTATAACAAATTAAATCAACTTTAATCCCATAATAATAATAATAATTATTATTTTTTTTTTTTTTACCTGCAAATGTTTCAACTCTGCAAATCTGAAAACCCAGCGTTCCCATAATTTTTTACTATCTTTACTATCTTTAATAATTTTTGGACAATTTTCTGCAGCTTTAGCAAATTCTCCTATTTTAAAAAAAAAATTTTTAGTAATTATTAAATTTCATTTCATATATAAATAAAAAATTAAAAAAAAAAAAATTAGCTAACCTTCATCTACCAAATATCCCAAATATTTCTCTCCAACTTCTGTTAAATCATAAACCTTACTTCCACCCCATGCTTGAGCTTCTTTAAGGGTTGACAAAGCTTCTTCATACCTATAACGATCCAATAACCAACTAATATGGTCGTCTAAATCACGTGGTTTGGCTAGAACAAGGTCTTTAGGACTAACGACGTAAAACATATCTTCTGAAGGATAATAATCGAGTATATAGTCATTTGCTTGACAATGTTGAAATCCATGTAATGGCAATGCGTCTGTTGAAATTTCTTCTTTTAATGAATTGATTATTCGTATTTCTGGTCGTTTTGCACGCTACAAATAAATAAACAATAAATAAATAAATAAATAAATTGATGTTTTATATAAAAAAATTCAATAAAATTTAATGCATACAGGTCGTTTATATTGTTCCGGATCATCCATCATTTCATTTTTTGTAATTTCGTCTGAAAGGTATGCTAACAATAATGTCATTTCATTAAAGGGTGCAATACCACACACAATGAAATCGGTTTGAAACCTAAAGTCGAAGTAAAATATTAATATATATATATAATTTTAAATATATTTATATCATACTGTTTGATAATAATAATAATATAAATTAATTATGATAAATAAAATAATACCAACATAGAAATTTCGGCATAAAGTGGCGGAAGACCGGAAACAGTTTGTTCCTATAATAAACACATATAAAATGAAAAACTCCATAACATAATGACTCTAAAAATTTTATTCATAATAACATTAGATACCTTGACTATAGCTATTTGTACATAATTCGCCCATCCTATCAATAATTGATTATTGCTACGCCAACATAAATTACATCGATACAAATCTGGACGGGGACTACCAGAAGGTCGTTTTATATAAGTAATTCTTTGTTGAGATTGTGTATCATACATTTTCACTCCCTTAAATCGTAATTATTTTTAAAAAAGGATTAAATAAATATATAAATTAATATATATATATATCAATAAATAAATAAATAAGAAAGTTTAAATATTTACTTCATCATTTGCGTATGCAATAAGATTTCCATTCCATCTTGCAGTATAAATTGGTCCTTCTCCGGAATGTTGAAGTACTTTGTCTTGTTTTTGTCCAAACCATCCTATAACATAAATGGTAAATAAGTGATAAATAAATTGATAAGGGTGATAATAAAAATAAATGGTAAATTTAAAGTGATAGGGAGTAAAAAAAAAGAACCTTTTTCGTTTAAAATCAGTTGACCAGCCAAACCACCCGATACAAATTGTTGAGAATCTTTTCGACTAAAATCAGGATCAAGTGCTACACATTTAACTGGACGTCGATAATTAAAAACTCGCTCAGAATCAATGTACATTCCGTGAATAACAACTTTGCCTGATATAATGAATATAAATGAATTTATAAATTGGTTTTAAAAAAAAAGAAAGTGGATTTTTTAATAATCTAAATCATACCATCCATTGATGCACTAGCAACATATTCTTCGGCAACGTCAATTGATATATCATTTACAGTTGCCGAATGTGATGAAAATCTTTTGATCAGATTTCCATCAAAATCCAGTATAAAAAGATCTCCATTATGTGTCCCTAATGCCTAAATAAAAAGTATAATATTTTCACGAATGTTTTTTAAGGAAAAATTTTTAAGAAATGAATCAAATAAAAAAAAAAAAATTCTATTTACCACATATTTATCGGAAACTGCCATTGCACTAGCAGCATCCTTTTTTAATAATTCACTGACATCGGCTTCTAAACGTTTGTATTTTAATTCTGGTTCTTCTTCCTCTATTGATTCCTCTTCTGAAGATTCTTCTGATTCTGTATCTTCTTCACTAGTTTCTTCTACCGACTCTTCATTCTCCTCAGAATCCACGTCTGATAAAACCTTTTCCTTGTTATTAGACAATACTGATTTTTCCTTTTCTTCAGTATATTCGGTATTATTCATCCTTTAAAAACTTCGATTATCGCCCACCAATGCACAATGTCCTTTTTATAGTTTCGGGTAAATTATCACGTGATATAATAAATAAATTTAGTGCCAAATCCAGTATAATAAATGAGCGTCCTTATCCTGACCCGCCAGTTCAGGGTAAAAATTACGAACCCCCGGGGTTCAGGCAAATTAATCTAGACCCTTTCCTTTTTTAGTAATAAAATTTATTAATTTAGCTATCCCCTAGGTAATAATGGATCATTGTTACATTATGTTCTTGTTCGTGTTACCTCTCCCAAGAACATGGAAGGTATCTCATGTCTGGAATGCAATAAAGAAATAAACTTCTGGGCTTGGTGTAAAGATTGCAATTCAAAAAGATTGAAACAAGAATTCGTAGACTGGACTAGTGGAAATGCAGTTATTGATAAATTTATTCAAGAAACTCAACTTAATGCCAAACATGCAGGATTAAAATTAGAATGGATACCTTATGAAGAACTTACTGATATCGAATTTATTGCAAGTGGAGGGTTTGGATCAGTATATAAGGCTTTTTGGGAAAAAGGTTTTATTGATGGTTATAATTACGAAGATCATTGTTGGAAAAGATCAAAGTTAGATGTCGCTATAAAAAGTCTAAGCATCCTTAATAAATCAAACGATATTCCTATTGAATTTTTCGACGAGGTAAAAATATTTAAGTTTATTACGAAAGATTACTATTGGAAAAAAATAATAATTAAAAGTTAATAAAGTTAATAAATAATCTATTTAATTTATTTTTTTTTAGATAAGCACTCAATTACGAACTTTTGATGATGATCAATCAACAATAATTCCAATTTTTGGGATTACCCTTGTTCCAGAAAAAAATAATTATGCGATAGTAATGGCTTATGCAGATGAAGGAAGTCTTCGAAATTTATTGGATACTAAATTTCACGAATTGACTTGGGAGGATCGGAAGATTCATATTCTATATTATATTACTGTTGCCCTAAAGGGTATTCATAAAATGGGATTTGTTCATCGCGATTTCCATAGCGGAAATATTGTTAATTTTGAAAATACATATTCATCACGTGTTACAGATTTTGGTTTATGTAAATCAATTAATCAAGTATCCGAAAAGACCATTGAAGGTGTTATACCTTATATTGCTCCAGAAGTTTTAAAAGGTCAAAAATATACTCAAGCATCTGACATTTATTCATTTGGAATTATAATGAATGAGGTTGCAACAGGATTACCTCCACATTACAATATGTCTCATAATAGTCAACTTATTATGAAAATTGCTTATCGAAGTTATCGACCAGAAATCAATTCAGAAATTACTCCACAATGTTATATTGAATTGATGAAAAGATGTTGGGACGAAAATCCCGAAAATCGTCCAACAGCAAATGAATTACATGAGATTTTTTCCAAATATCTTGAAAGTGATCATTGTGAATTTTGGGATCAAGTAAAAGAGATTGAAAAGAATTCAAAAAATAAAACCGGTTCTCTTGAATATGAAATTGATAAAGAAGCTTTTTATAAAAGTCGACCTATTGAAATTTTAGGTAATTTTCAAAAAAAAAAAAAAATGAATATTTTACCAATCATAACGTAATAATAATCTTTTGTTCCGTTTAGATGAGGATGTTTTTTAATAATTTTTGCACAAATCATTATTTTTAGTTCTATAAGTTTAATCAAAGTAAAATTATCTATTTTTTATATACTTTAGATTCTCAAATGCATGAATCGGAATATGATGGTAATTATATTTGATAGTAATTATTTAAAATGTCGTCGATAAAAAAAAAAATTAATTTTTTGTGACCTTTTCTTTTAGACGATGATTTACTTGAACTAGACTTTTGATTCTAAATGGTATGCCAAATTATAAAATTGGCATAACTGTTGCATATATTTATATTTATTAAAATATCATTAAACAGAACAGAAGACGAAATGGAGAAGATTATATGATGTGATAGGTTATGCAAATCAAGGAAGACTTCATTATTATAATGAATTTTGGAATCAAGTAAAAGAGATTAAAAAGAATTCAAAAATAATTTAAATATATTATGTTTTTATATACATGATCATGGTAAATCATTTAACATGTTGAATTAAAATTGTCATTTTTCAATTAAAATATTGATTTTTCTGTGACCTTTTCTTTTAGATGATGAATTAATTGAACTATCTAAATTATAACATTGTCAAAACTGTTGCATGTATTTTTTTAATACGGAAACGTACATGATATCATAATAAGTTAGAATTACTAAATTTAGATAATGTAATAATGTATTTCATTATGTGTTACATTTTCTAAAAATTTAATTTTTAAAAATGAAGTATTTCTGCCTAGAGAATGGTGCACAGATTATAATACAAAAAGGTTAAGAGAAGAATTTAAAAATTGGACTAGTGGAAATTCTTCCGTTGATGACTTAATTCAAAATACTCAACTCACTGCAAATGTCGCAGTTGAAAAATTGGAGTGGGTACCTTATAATGAGTTCACTGAAGTTAATTTTCTTTCGAGAGGAGGTTTTGGGACTGTTTATAAAGCCTTTTGGAAAAAGGGTTATATGATATTAAAGAAGGAGCATGGACAAGAATGCTAAACCTAGATGTAGTTTTGAAAAGCTTAAATGATTCAAAAGATGTTACTTTTGGATTTTTGATGAGGTAAAATATTTGTTAATTTAAGAATTTTTATGTTCATTTTTCTGCAAAATTACTACTTTAGATCAGCCATCAATTAAAATCTTCTGTCACCCAATTAAACTGATTTACTAAATAAAATAAAGCCTATGAGAATGTTGCCAAACCTATAAGCTCCACTCTTACTCTGCGGAAACTTCTCTCTTTTAATGCTAAATATCATTATTTTATTAGTAAAGAAGAACTTTATTTAATTACTTTAGGTGCGTTGTCTATATGTTTTACTAATTTTAATTGAAACAAAGTCTGTAACAAATTATCAGTCAAATCTTTAAATTGACTTCCTTATTTTCTTATAAAGAAACCTATATTTGTTCTACAGTATTATTGAAAATATTATTACTTAATGAACACATTGTTGTCACCCAGTTGGGAGAGCTTCACTATTAATAATAGTAATGATTTAGTTCCTGATGTCAAAGAATGACAAGGCGATAAAAGTAATCAAGTAACAAATTTATACTAAACTAATAACAGGATAAACAACCAATTCAAAAAAAAATTTGTATTATTAATTGTTATTTTATTCATTAATCAAAAAATATCAGTCTAAGGTTATTCACTTTTACATCAAGAAGTTTTCAACATTTTAGAAGGTCTGCAATTTGATGCCTGGTGGTAGCCTTTGATCATTATTTGATGACAATGTCATCAAAATAGAACACAGTTATCACCGATAAAAAATCATTAAACTCATTAAAAATTCATATATTAACGGTACAATTTAAAATATTTGACTATAAATAAAATTTGATAAAAACATATGATAAAAAAAGGTTTCTAACAACATCATTAACCAAATTTTTTATTCTATATTAAGGATATAAAGAACCAGGAGCTATGCATTAAGGGAACAAAAGACAAAAAAAGAAAATTTAATAGTAGGTTGGTTAAGTTTTGCTTGATGTGTGAAATTGTTTAAATATTTTTTATGTTTTAGTTTTCATCCACTAATATTTTTGTATCTAAAGGCTCTGTTGAAGATGAAGAGTTATATATCAATCTTTCTGACAGTACTTAGAAAAAAAATTGAATTGAAGACAATAAAAACAATTTAATGTAAGAATGTGAAAAACTCAAATAGTGAAGAGAAAGGAAGAAGAGAAGCTGATAATAAGGGGAAGGCAAATAAGAGTTCATCACATCAATGATTAGAGAAATCTAAAGGAATCATAAAAAAATACAAATATTTCAAACATATGTGTAATATAAGAGTTTTCTTGAATTTGTTTGTTCCAGTATTTCAGTACTTGTTTTTCTGTTCTTCTTATTCAGATTTTAAATATTAAAGAGTTTCTTTTCTTAATTAGATTTTTTAAGAAACAATCCTGTCATCTTCACTGAACCTACAGATAAGTCTTTGCTTATCCCAAAATAAAGACCTTTTGCAACACACATGCAAAGACAACAGTTTTGGATTTGTGTAGGAGGTTTGTACCACACTGTATTGAAAATATTTGTTAATGGTATTATAGGTCCCTCAATAAACTTTATTTTTCTTTTGTGTAATCAATTGTGTAACTCTACTATAATTATGATCGTCAGCGAAGCATCTAGTTTTATTAAAAATGGAGTATTTCTGTCCTGAATGCCATAAACGATGTATTGATAACGAATGGTGCAAAGATTGTAATTCAAAAAGATTAAGAGAAGAATTTAAAAATTGGACTAGCGGAAATTCTTCTATTGATGAATTAATTCAAAATGCTCAACTCACTGCAAATGTTGCAGTTGAAAAATTGGAATGGGTACCTTATAATGAATTCACCGAAGTTAAATTTCTTGCGAAAGGAGGTTTTGGGACTGTATATAAAGCTTTTTGGAAAAATGGTTATATTGAATCTTTTGATATTAAAGAAGGAACATGGAAAAGAAGGCCAAACGAATATGTAGTTTTGAAAAGCTTAAATGACTCGAAAGATGTTACTTTTGAATTTTTTGATGAGGTAAAATATTTAAATTTTTGGTCAATTTAAACAATTTTTAAGTTCATTTTTCTGTAAAATTACCACTTTAGATCAGTCGTCACTTAAAATTTCTTGCGGCAGATGGTGCATGTATAACTCCAATTTATGGAGTCACCCAACATCCTGACAAAGATTATATGATGGTGATGAGTTATTCAAATAAAGGAAGCCTTCGAAATTATTTAAGCGAGAATTACAATGAATTAACTTTGAATGCCAAAATTTGGCTAACATATTATATTGCATCTTCACTAAGTAAAATTCATGAATTGGGATTTGTCCATTGTGACTTTCATAGTGGAAATGTTGTTCTTTATGAATATTCTGGTGTTCTATCAGCACTAATTACGGATTTTGGTTTATGTAAATCAGTTCATCAAGTATCCGAAAAGACCATTGAAGGTGTTATACCTTATATTGCTCCGGAAGTTTTAGCGGGACAAAAATATTCTCAAGCATCTGATATTTATTCATTTGGAATTATAATGAATGAAATTGTAACAGGATTACCTCCACATTACAATATTCCTCATAATTCTAAACTTACTTTAAAGATTGTTTATCAAGATCTTCGACCAGAAATTGATACAGAAAATACTCCGCAACTTTATATTCAATTGATTGAAAAATGTTGGGATAAAAACCCTAAAAATCGCCCAACAGCAAGTGAAGTATACGATATTTTATTAAATTATTTTAAAAATGAAATCACTGGTAAAGAAGAAATATGGCATCAAGTAAAAGAGATCGAAAAGAATCCAAAAAATAAAACTGGTTCTCTTGAATATCATATTCACAAAGAAGCTTTTTATACAAGTCGAACTGTTGAAATTTTAGGTAATTTTCAAAAAATGAATATCTCACAAATCTTAACATAATAATTAATGATTCTTTATCTTTTATCTCATATTTAGATCCTGATGACAAGGGAACCTTTGGTAAATTAATTTTTGCAATTATTTACATTATTAGTCACATTATTTTTAGTTCTAAGAATTTAATTGTATTTTTATATATTAAAAAATTGATTTTTTGTGCCCTTTTTTTTTTTGTTTTAGATGAAGACCTGAATGAACTTGACTTTTAATTCTAAATAGAAAACAGAAAACAGAAAAATAAATGGATCAAACTCTTATAGCAATCTAAAAATTTATGGAGGAAAAAGTGTTCTGCCCTCAATCATTTCTGCAATACGAATCCAACATCTACCATAAATCTTAACACCATCTTTTAAAATTTCGTAGACCATTTCCTCTTTTTAATATTTGGATCTAATGTTTCTGTCCATCGGGCCTGGCATAGTTCTTTGTGGAATACGTTTTGAAACCTTATTCCAGGGAAGAAGTTGTTGATTACCTTGAGTTGATAGCATTTAGATATTGTTGTACAGATGTAAATAATAATTTTTTCCCAAGAAAATTAATATATATTATTCTGTGATTATAATAAAATATATTATTTATTATATTTATTATACATGGTCTTTGTATATTATAATTTTATATAATCAAAGAACAAATAAATGATTAAACTAGGGTAAATTAGAAAATTCCTTCCTCTGATTCCATATAATCATTATTATTATTATCACTTGCACCTTCAACACACCCAGATCTCTCATCAATTTGTTGTTGGTTTAAAGGGGTTGTGTCTTCAGGTGGAAGTTCAGGAAGACTACTATTTGGTGCAATACATTCTTGATATTGTTTGTTGCCAAGCTCTTTCCATGACCTTTGTATTAATAGAATGTCATAATATATAAGTAATATAAGTAACTACATGTTTTTGAGACATGAATAAAATGTTTACCAATTCAAATTGGTTTTTAATTTATCGTCTTCCATGGTAGGACGATCATTCTCAATACTATTTTCCCATTGATCTCTTGGATTCATATCATGAGTATTTTGTTTTGAAATATCTTCTTCTAATTTAATGTTAGCATTGATTATGGTTGAAGGTTTAGGAATTTGATTCTCATTTGAGTTTTGAAGGTTAGATCCATTCATTTCTCAAATATGTATGTAGTCATACTAAGAATACTAAGAATAGATTCTTAATAGATTGTAAATTTAAAGATTTCGTCATATAAAGTCTACCATTGTGATCATTGTGATTATTATGATCATTGTGTAAAACTCAAAACTGGACTGGTTACCCGAAATAAATACATCAACTTCTATATTAAGGTCATAATAAAAATGTGTCCCGGAAAGACGATAAATTTGATAATAAACTCAAGACTCTATACTGAGAACTGTCTTTAAACTTTAAAGAGATTTATTATAAATTTATTATTTTGATTCATTTTTAAAAAAATTTTACCACGACATCAACATTCTCATCATGTCCATCACTTACTTCGATACAATTGAAAGAAACTACTCGGAAGTAAGCATAACTGACGAAGGCATTGATACTAAGACATTTTTGGAAGCTACAGAAGGGTTGGTCAAATTATTTGGTAGGTGGTTTGCGATGACCAGTTTTTTGATAAAAGAGAAAAATTAAAGATTGTGACAAAATACAATCTTGTACTAAAAGATGTTATACTTATACTTATGATATCGCTCACAAGTTAATTACCTTATATAGATCTACTTGAATCTAAGGCTTTCATTGTCGTTAAAAATGATATGAATGGTAATATTAAGGTGAGGGATGGAACTCAATTTCTTTTAACAAAATTATTTAAAGAATCTGTGCTAAGATTATTACGAATTCTAGAAAATTAGAGAACGTTATTTGATTGATACTATTAAAAATAGTACACTTGAAAGCTTGGTTATTAATGAAAAAGGAGAAAAGAAGCGCAAAGCTACCGAAGGACTACTGTGGTTAAAAAGGTTTTTTGATTTTGATTTTGATTTTATTCTCTTTTATATTATAATGTAACATTGAATTAATCATTTTTACTGAAAATATTTTATATAAATTTCAAGAGGTTTAGAATTTACTTCTACTGCTTTACGTCGTTCAAAGAATAATAAAGATGAAGAATTGTCAGCTTCTTTTAGGATTGCGTACGAAGGAACTTTGAGACTATTCCATGGTTTTGTTGTTGTTACGCTATTTAATGTATGTATGATTCATTTCTATTGTTTATTGAGTTCAAAATATTTTATGTTGATTTATCTTTATTCTACAGTTTGCAATGGATTCTGTTCCCACTCGTGCAGCGTTTTTCAAGAAACTTGGCGAAGATGAATTAAAAATAGAGGAACAATATGAAATTTGGTTGCTGGCACTTGAAAAGATTGTTGCTAGACTAGTTGAATTTTATATACAAGGTGGTCACGACAAAGGATTTTAGATTCTATTATTTAGAATAGACGTGGTTTTGTATTCTTTTTGAAAATAGATTTTTTTTTTTTTTTTAATTTAACTTGATTAGATGTTTTAGATTTTTTTTTATTTTGATCAATAATAATAAAAAAAGAAATAGAAAATTATAAATTCAATTTTGATCTGTAGTTATTATGAAAGATATATTAGATATATTAGAAATATTATATTTTTTAGGAATTTGAGTGAGCGTAAAAATTATTTAATAAAGAAAAGAAAACATTCAAAAAAAAAAAAAAAAGAAATATCGACTAAATATTTACTATAATAAACAATTCAAAATATATGAAATATAAGGAAAACTATATAATATTTTCTATTATTATTATTATTGCACACTAAAGATAACGATTCTATATAAAAGAAAGAAAGTTATATATATTTGTGTGATGGATATCTAATTAGTTTTTAGTAGGTTCCGCGTCACCAGGTTTTTTCGCATTACATGCCACAATTTTAATCTTATCAACGTGAATCTGTTCGTGTTCCAATTTGAAATTTGGATCTTTGATAATAAAAGTCCATACTTCGTCACAAAACCGATAAGTGTGGAGATGACCTTGCTATATATTTGTAAGTTTATATTCGTTAGATTTATATTTTGTTATATAAATTAATTTTTTTAAAAATTTTATATTTTATTATTTAAACTTATTTTAGTAATCTTTTCGATTGAGTCTTACCTTAAAAGTCGCCTTTGTACGAACTTTTGTTTCTAAAGCCTCTGTAATACTCTTATCAAACTTTTATACATTTATGTATATCAATATATATATATACATATATATATTTATATATATATCGTTAGCTGCATACTTCTTTACATGAATCAGATCTGAAATTTTAAAACTAAATTTACATTGTGCGCAGAAAAGCACTATATAATAATCCTCAATTCTTTTGACTCTTTTCCTCCCCCTTCCTTCCCATTATTAATTGAAATTCCCATAATTTTTTATATGTCTCTTAACTCTCAGGTAGTGCGCTGATTATATTGTATAAATGAAAATATTATATATTGAAATACATACTTGTAAAAGCACTTTCATTGCAAGTTGCGGATCAATATGACTAGATTGGATCAATTCGTCAAGCGAATCTGTCAAAGCCATACCAATACTTTATAATAAAATACAAACAATAATAATGATAAGAAAATTATCAAACAATTGGTTTTTTTTTTAAAAAAAAAAAAAATAAAAATACAAAAAAAGTAAAATATTTCTAATATTTTCTCTAAATTTGGAATAAAACGCGCGCACTAACGAACCTGCTCCTACGGTAGAGTTCATAGTAATGAGTCATCGTGAAATATATTATTCTATAGAGAATTTATTCTTTGTGTGTGAAAATTTCAATATTTTAATTTTTAGTGTTGTGACGTTTTTCGAGTTTAAAAGTGAGAAGAGTTTTTATACCCTAACCTGTAACAAAAAAAAATTGAAAGAAAAGGAGTTTATATACGTTTTCCATGTAGAGTGATTTTTGTGATTTCCTAATTGAATAATCACATAATCACATAATTGCATAATTTATATGTTACACAACATCTATTTCTTTATTAATGACAGGTCTTTTTTAAGCCCTTCCACATGACCGCCAGTCATATGTCATTTTGTTATAAAAAGCAAGCAAGGAAGAATCAATAGATTATCTGATCAACAAGTACGACATTCTATGTGCCTATTTTCTATAGAATTTGTATGTTTGTAGAGCATTAGTGATAATTAAAGCAAAAGTTTTTAATGTAATCAATGTAATTTCCAAAATCAAATTTATTGTGAATGTTTTAATCTTGTTTTTTTTTTATTATTTATTTTATTTTATTTATTTCATTTTTGGTGGAATCCTTTTAATTTTAATTCTTTTAACATAACACTAAATAAAAAATCATATCTATATATTATTCAAAAAGGCTAAAAATTATAATTATTAAGAGAATGAGTAATAAATTTGATTAAACTTTAATTCTTTAAAAAATTATAAATAAATAAATAAACAAAAGATTGACAATATTGTGGCTGACTAGTTTGAAACTTCATAACTTGTATAATCAACCTGGTCACACCAATTAGAAATTGGTACACAACTAAGGTATTTGCACCATTTGCAGCTTTCACTTGGATTGGTTGTATAGAAATTACGAAGGAGTAAGAAAAATAGAAGTATAACTATGGGAAGTGCAATTATTTTAAGTGCCCAATTAGCACGTTTGTGAAATTTCGAAAAATTAATTGTAGGATTTAAAACGCATCCAGTTACTATTCCCATCATAAATCCACCTATATGTGAAAAATTATCTAAACCTGGAAGAAGACCCAACAAAAAACTAAGGATAATCACAAAAGATAATTTAAAAAGTTCCCAGCGAGGATGTCTAACAATCTTCCAATTTTGTAAAAGTTCCAATAATATAACACCAACAATTCCAAATAAACTACCGGATGCTCCCATAGAAGCTGATAAAAAAAAAAAAAGTTAAATATGTAAAAATATGTAAAAATATTGTATGACAATATAGGAATAAACTTACGAGATAAAGGTGAATCAAAATTTCCCCCAAAAATAAATCCAAATATACCACTTGCCATATAAATAATACCAAATCTCCACCAACCAATATCTTTTTCTACTTGCATACCAGTCTGTAATTGGAAAATCATATTGAAGGCAAAATGAATAATTCCACCGTGAAGAAATATTGGTGTTATGAATCTATACCATTGATCCGGATGACCACTTTTAAAACCACCAAGACCACAATAATCTGTCATATTACATAGCTTATTAGGATTTTCTAAAGTAGGACAACTGATTTGTATGCTGTCATTATATACAGTTTTCATGCAAGGGACGAAGCGAGCACCCAATTGAACAAAGGTCTATTGGAAAAATTAAAAGAATGCAAAAGTTAATGGATGTGTAAATAAATAAATAAATAAATAAATAAATAAATAAATAAATAAATATATAATCTATATATATAATTTAACAAAAAAAGAAAAAAGAACACTAACAAACGCTCCAGGTCCAACCATAGGATTAAGGGGATTTGTCTGTATAACTTCTCCCGTAAATTCTTTACTTTTTACGAATTCAAAAATCAACATGAATAATTGTATGACGGTAACGATCCATGTGAAGACAGGTATCCATAGTGTTTTTTTATTTAATTGTTTTTGCACTTTTGGGTCAAGCAATGCTTTAGGGTATTTTGGATCACGTATAGTCGGCGGTAATGTATCACGTCTTGAAGAAAGGGTATCACGTCTTGAAGTAGAACTTTCAGGATAATTTAAATTCTGATAATAACTATCCGCCTCTCCTCGTGGAATTTGAGGGTCTTGATACCCTTGACTCGCGTATAAAGATGATTTTCGATTACTATTCATAATAAATTGATCTTGTTCTTCACGGAATAAACGTCTAGCCATTTCTTCGTCATTTTCTTCTTCTCTTTCATAATTTCCATATTGTGTTTCTACTGTTGGTAAATCTCGGCTATGTTCTTCTAAGTCAACCACAGATGCGGGGGGAGCACTAGGCGCAGTTGAATGGCTACTTTGCCTTTCTAGATCTATTGGTGGTAAAATAGTAGGTGTTGAGTGAACGTCTAACGGAATATTAGTTGACGGGTATTCATCATTATAAGAGAAATAAGAAGGTCGTTCTTCATATGGAGGTATAGGTTGAGAATTATCATCAGTTGTATCGTAAGCTTGATTTTGATGAAAAAATTGATTCCAATGATTTGACATTTTTATTTTTTTTTTTTTTCAATAATAATAATAATAATAATAATAATAATATTTTCAAGAAAAAAAAAATGAAAAATGAATAAAATGGACTTTTTGAAGATATACGTTTATAATTTAGGTTGACTTAAGTATCACAAAATGATATATTAAAAAAATGTAGTGAAACGTATCCTAAATTGGAAAGGGCCAGGATTATTTTTTTTTTTTTATGTAATTTATAATAACTTTATATTCGATCAAAAAAATTTGATCAAATGATCTTTTTGCTAAAAATAAAAAAAAAATCAAGTTTAGAAAAATGAAAATTCTATTTAGAACGGATATATAATAAATCTCATAAATCTCATTATCTCATAATTATAGTAACAAGTTTTTAAAAGGAATTTCAGGAACAATACGCGAATTATCTCCGACTTTTTAAGAAACTATAATGACCATTATAGTCATAAACCATCACCAAGCCCAACGACTATCGTGAAACAAAAACCCACTAAGCTGGTTTATTCATATAATAAACTACTAAAATTGAATTATTTGTATCATAAACTACTAAAATTGTATTGTAATGATTTATTTGTTTTCATGTTGATATTCGGAATATTCAAGAATAAAAATAAAATAAAAATAAAAAAGGATTATTAAAAGAACCATATAAAAATATCAATTATGTCATTTTTATGAGACAACTCTTTAATTATTATTTTTTATATAATTCTTTGATTTTTAAATTTTCTTACATGCGATAAATTTAACCAAATACGAATCAAATAAAAAATTGGAAATTAGAAATTATAGAAAAATGTAACATAATTAATTATATAATTTGTTTATATAATATAATGTATATAATAATGTATATAATAAATATTTTTTAATGAAATAATTTTTTTTCCCTTATATTTTTATTATTATTTTTTTTTAAATTTAAACAAATTTAACTTACAGTTTAATGTCCCCCGAACCGTTTGTAAGGATCTCGTTCCGCTTTTTCATAATTTTTATTTTTAAAAGGTCGCCTTCGTCGACCCTTTCAGTGTTAATCTAAAATTAAATAAAAATTAAAATATATTTTAATTTTTATTTATGTTGTAATATACAGTACATATATATGAATACATATGTATATTAACACTTACAATGCGGCCCGAATTATAAATCGTGTTGGCCAGGGTTTTACCCCCGAACCAAATATCGATTTGATTATTTGCTCGATTACCATATAAGAGCCCTGTCCTATCATAATCTTCTCGATGATAGGTTTCCACGAACTCGAGGACTTCCGAAAAACTAATTTTCTTTTTTATTATTTTTATGTTACGCTTTGTAATAGATCTGTCGTAACCATAGGGTAATGGTGGCAAACACTTGAATATTGTTGAATCATATTTCTGGGTAAGGAGGAATAAAAAAAATTAGAGAGAATATTTAATAAAATAATAGATAGATAGATAGATATATATATATATGAATACTTACGTATTTACCAACGTTATTGGATCCAAAAAATGTGGGAATCATTACTCTTTCGTCGTGTATAGATTCAGTTGACGACGAGAATATTGAAGAAGACGAGGACAGGGTTGTGAGTGACGGAGACGGCGAAATTGTTGAGATCTCGGAGGTAGAAGAAGAGGTGGACGAAGGCAACAAAGACTTGGTCGCGTATATAGTAGAGCACTGAATAGCTTGTTTTTTGTGAATGGTTTTTATTTCATTCGTTTTTCTTATCACCAAGTGAGGCATTTTTAAATGCTAATAAACTAATAATTTGTAGTAGTAGTAATAGTAATAATACACAATATTCAGAGTAAATGACAGAATATAGAAATAATGATTTGAGATCAGAATTGCTATACAAATAATTGCTTTTAATAATAATTATTAAACAGTAACGGTAAAATTAATAAAAAAAAATCAAATATCTTCTTTTTTTTTTTTAATTATATTACTATATTTGGTTTTTTACGCGTCGAATTTTATAGCTTTTGATTATGATATGCATGACGTTTTATGATATAATTGTAATGTAAGAATTTTATTGGGATTAAAAAGTAAATTTGCCCACGTGAATTGACAAATAAAGATAAACATGATGATTTCATAATAACAACAATAACGCAAATAAGTTTGTCAAATAAAAAAACGCGCTCTGCCAAATATGTAAAATTATTGAGTTGACCGAATATTTTGTAAATTTTGTTCCGATTTCTGATCTGTTTCCATTGGATCCATTGAATCAATCCGATTATTCTGATAATTCTGTTCATTCGATTGGTTCTTATTAGAAAATAAAATTAATGAAAATATCGAAGATATTGTTGGATCATGTCTTAAAATATAAGTCAAAATAAATATTATAATTTGATAATATAATATTAATAATGTGTATTGGTAGTGTCCGGTGTAATTCTTTCGCTATTTTATTTTTATATACAGAAATTTATTTGATAGAAGAAATATTTAGTAAGAAATCCAAATCTGAAATTTTAATTTAATTTAATCAAATTTTAAATATTTGAGTAATAATACTTGAAAGAAATTAACAACATACATCATTATTTCCTTCATCAACCAAAACCGTCAATTCGTGTAAGAATTCATGTTTTAATTCTTCAATTTCGATCTCTTGTTTTTTCTTATCAATATTTATGCAATTCGCATCACGTCGTAATCGATATTTTGCATTAAAATTTTGTCGATTGTTTTGATATTTAGTGCTTTGAGCTTCTGCTACATAATTTTTCCTAAAAATCGATGGCGTTTGTACTTTTAATGATGATTTCAGCCATTTCGACTATGTAAAATCATAAAATTCAAATATTAATAAATGTTAGTATTCTTATATGTTCATTAAATGTTCAATTAAATATTCAATTAAATATTCAATTAAATATTCAATTATTAAAAAAAAAAAAATTTACAATTTGATTAAATGAAAACATATCCTCTTTCCTAAATAAACGATCTAAAAATACATGCAATATATTAAAGTGTTAAATATTAAAATATTTAAATAATAAAATGTTTTAAATAATAAAATATAATTATTGAAAACAATGAAGATACCGCAAATGTATTGTAATAATTCCACATCAAAAATATATTTAGTAAACTTTGTTGCTTGAAGTGCTCTGGATTCTATAGCAAAGTCAATTAATCCTTTCGTAGCACTCAGTAAACTATTTTCTTGTTCAATAAATTGATGTAAAACTATTGCTGCCATAATTTCTAAATAAAAAAAAAGATATTCAATAAATATATATATTTATATATATTTGTATATAGATATATGTATGTGTAAATGTATATATATATATATTATTACCTCTAAGTGATAAACAACAACTAATCATCTGTCTTATTGTATGAATTGGCCATAATTCTTCAAGTTTTTCCAGAAACGTATAAGATGAGGTTACAATCGCAATCGCATTTAGATTATGCCTTAAAGACACGATGGGTAAACCTTGTAAATGATAAATATCAGCGATCCGAATATCATAAAGAAATTTTGGTTCATTATGTTTCTCTGATTCAATACACAAGTATAAAAGATGTGGCATTAAATCATAAAGAGTAAATTTCTTTTTGGTATCAAGAATTTTTTCAATTTCATTAAATCTTTATTATTTTTTTTTTAATAAAGAAAAGTATAATTGATAAAGGTGAGATAGAATAATAAGTATGATAAGTAATTAATCAAAAAAAAAATATAATAAGATATAATAAATAAAAATAAAATAAAATAAAATAAAATAAGAGTCATTTACTTTTCTTTTGGCCAGAGTTCCTTTGCACATTTACTTGTCATCATTAATATCATAAATGGACTATAGAAACGATGATTTAATTGTTTTTGTTCACTTCGTTCTTTTTGATTACATAAAATATAGCCGGCAATTAAACTCATTATAATGTGATGAACCCATTTTACATTTTTGAGTCTTGCCAAAGTATTGAATGCAGGTTCCTAAAATAATTTATTAAATATTATTATTATTTTTGTTCAAAATATTATAAATATTATATATTAAAAAAATATTCCATACAATGCATTTGAAATTAGTTAAATTCAGAACTTTAATTAATTTAAACGATATGGATCGTAAATATTTAAGTTCATCTTGTTTCATTTTGAGAATTAATTCAAATTCTTTTTGATTCGTTTTTTCAAGATCATCTTCAACACAATACACATCTAAGTATATATAAACAGTATATATATTTATGTTAGTATAATTATAATTTTCAAATCATTAAATTTTTGAGTAGAAAAATATATAATTACCTTGAGCATATGGAGAATACAACTTGAATATTTCGATACATGAAATCATGAATTCACAAAATCGATGAATGGAAAAATATTGACCTGACAAAATATTTAATAATATACTAATTAATATATAAATAATATGTTGACCAATATATTTTCAAAGATATTAATAATATTAATAAAATATATTTACTCATCCATTCATCTTTAGGTTTTGAATTTAATAAACTCGTTAAGAAATTACTCAAAAACTTCCAACGATAATTGTCCAACAACCTGAATGTTATGTTTTCCTATATTACAATAGTAAATAGTATTAAATAATAAATGATAAATAATAAATAAATAATAAATAATAAATAATAAATAATAAATAATAAATAATAAATAATAATACAAGAAATAATGATTTAAACATACCAAAACAGGTAAATCTAATAATGGGAAATTATTCAAAGTCTTAAAACATAAATCTTCTATTTCTACAAATCTTTCATCGTTAATTTTATCTTCAATGAAATATGATTCATTTAAATCTTCCCAATGAATTTGACCTTCATTCTTTTTAATAACATTATGCGTATCAACAATATTGGGGAAGGTAATCTGTATATATAAAGTTATTTATTTAACATAATATTTTAATATAATTATAAAATGTATTAATATTTTTATTTTACCGTTCGATCATTAGCACCTAGAATGCATTGATCAACAGTGGTAAATATTGAAGGAAAATTTGTAATCGGTAAAAGAGGTAATGTCTATTTTTATTAAAATAATTAAATTATATTCGTTAGATCAAAAAAAAAAAAAAAAAAAAAAAAAAAAAAACATAAATAATAATATTAATTGATGAATATTTCTTCATGGAGATAATTTTGACCTGAATTATTATTCCATCACCACGATATGAAGAAATATCTTTATTATTGTTATTATTGTTATTATTATAATTATAATTATAATTTTCGGCCTGCTTTCCTTTCCCAGAACCAGAATAAGGTTCAGTATTTCCATTTGGCTTGTTATTGACATCTTTATTATTAATATTAATATTAATATTAATATTAATCTCATTCTTATCTTCATTATTCTCAGTGCTATTATTATTATTATTATTACTTGTGTTCAATAAAATTAATTCCTCAATAAGTTTCTCAATTGGATATTGAACAAATTCCAGACCTATTCAAATTTAGAATAACATAGAATAAATTAGAATAATAATAAGAATATATAATAACATAATAATGTAATAAATAAATAATTAATTAAAAATATACCTTCAATATTTCTAATAATTTTCCAAATTTCATCATTTTCAATTTTTTGAAAGAATAATGATACAAATTTTCTTTGATTTTCACTTAAATTTTGACCAAAAAAGTTTCCATATTTTGTTTTTAATAATTCAATTAATTCTATTATTAATTCTTCATCAAGAGTATTCTCAAGATATTGAAAGCAATATTCCGGAATTTCATTAAACATTTCATCTTTTCATATGATTTCATGTAATAAAATTGAAAAAGAATTAATAATAATAATTAAAAATAAATATATATATATAATAATAATATAATATAAATAATAATAATATACCAATTGATGCATTAGAGGGTAAATTAAATGCATTATAAAAGGCAATTTTGATGGCAGCATTCATTTGACCAAATCTAACTGCTTCAATAACTAAATTACGTGTTTGCTCTAATTTAATATCAACCTTCGAATTATTATTAATGAATGATCTCGATAAGATTAAATATATTCCTTCATAATTTTGATTCTCTTTAAAATATTCTATTTGTACATATGGTGGAAACTTTTTCATTAAAAATCCTGTTCCTTTAATTAAAGCTGATAAGCGTTTTTTATCTATTGTACTAAATATAATTAAAAAAAAAGAAAAGAAAAAGAAGGTAATTAATATGTTTCTAGAATTAAATACAAATAAAATATAAATAAAATATAAATAAATATAAAATAAATATGATTAAATATAAAAGTAAATATGATTAAATATAAAGTAAATATGATTAAAAATATAAATAAAATATGATTAAATATAAATAAAATATAATTAAACATTAATAATACCAAAATGATTTATATTCTACAGTTGATTCATAAGGATCACCTTCAATTGCACATTTACATAAATAAGCTACAGATTTTCCAATATCTCTAGAAAAGTAATATTCTCCTAATTCATACGATAATTGAATTCTAAATATTGTATGAATATGATAAGATAATGAAGAAGATAATACATTTCCTTCCACATATCCCTGAAATATTTAGATTTTAAAAATATTTAGAATATAAATAAATGTAATTTGTAGTTTTAGTATTTAAAAATATTATTACTATTATTATTATTATTATTATTATTATTATTATTATTATTATTATTACCGCTATATCTTTTTCTAATGATTCATATAATAATTCTAGAATTTTAACCGAATTTTCATTTGAATCATAATCATGTCCGAAATCAATATTATTATATTTTGATCTTATAATCCATCGATGAAATAATATTGAAGGATCGTATCTTGGATCTTTATCGTTATCATTATTGTTATCATTGTCATTATTATTATTATTATTATTATTATTATTATTATTGTCCTTATTAATATTCTTCTTCTTATTCTTGCTATAATTATTATTGATGTTATTATTATTATTGTTGTTATTATTTTTTGAATTTCTAAATTAAAGAATTGAAATAAGTAAATAAACTGATGAATAAATTGATGAATAAATAAATGTCATACTTTTCTAGATGATTTAATGTATATAAAACAACTGGCTGAATATTTATCGATACACCTTGTTCAATATTTTGTAAATAAAGGTGAGTTTTATGTATTACCTATTTTTTAAAAATAATAATTTTAAATAAAATTAAAATAAATATCAATTATATCAATTATATCTATATATAGACATATAAATATATAAATATAAAATACCTAAGAAAATATCAAAAAAAAAAAAAAAAAAATACCTTGCAAGCAGCTTTTATCAATTGAAATTGATTTGTGGATAATGAATAAGTGAGAGGTTCGGTATTAATTATTGGAATTTGTCCTGTAAATTCATTTTCATCAAGTAATGACTTTAAAAGTCGGATGCCAGCAATTTGATGATCTGATGGATGAATTGATTCGATCTATTTTTTATAAAAATTAAAATGTAATATTTATTATGTTAATTTAGATCAAGACACATATATGTCATATTACATATTCAATTATGCATATCTTCCGAGATGTATTTATATATTTTCTGTAAAAATGTATATAAATTTGATTTTTACATTTTTATCAAGTTGATTTAAATTAGAACACCACTCAAAGGTGCTTTTATTAGGAGGAAATCCAGGTCGAACGGTAGACATATGTACAACTGATACAACTGATACAATAGATTTACAGTATATAAACAATATAAAACAAAAATTAAAAAATTAAAATTAAAGGAAATTGAACAAGTGAATATCGAATTTTTTTTTGCTGAGATCAAAATAAACGGTTTCTATATATATTTATACTATCATTTCACGTGCTTTTGGTACTCTTTAATAAGCACATCAATATTGAACATGTTACATGTGCCATCATGAAAAATTTAAAAAAATTTTATTATTACAACTATTAACAATAATAAATTAATAACGAATAATTGAATGTACTGGAGCTTTAAGAAGATTTTTACCATTTAATTCTATTAATTCTACAATAAAAATATATTCTAGAATTTTACCTCCACTTCCTTCTACAAGTTTTCCTGCGGCATGTGCTGTTCCTCCTATTTTTTTTTTTTATTTATTAAATATAAAATTATTATTAATATTAAATGTAAAATTATTATTTATTAGATATATAAAATTATTTTTAAACATAATAAAACTAAATATGTATATAATTTGAAATGAAAATAATTATAAATTTTTATAATAAAAATCTGACCTGTAGCAATAAGATCATCTACAATAATAACATTTTGTCCAGGTTTAATAGCTTCTTTTTGCATTTCAAAGACATCCTTTTAAATAATAAAAAAATATATATATTAAAAACATTTATTGATTATTTTTCAATATGGGTAAAATTTTTTTTTTTAAATAAAAACATACCACACCATACTCTTTTACAAATTCAGCAGAAATTATTTCTCCTGGTAATTTTCCTTGTTTTCTTACAGGAACAAAAGCAGCACCTAATCTTAAAGCCAAAATTGGTCCAAATAAGAATCCACGTGCATCGAGACCTAATATGAAGTTGAAGAAATTCGATTAAAAATGTTTAATTTAATATTTATTATTTATTATTTATTAGATATTTTCACTTGCCAATTATAACATCAACTTTTTCATTTACTGTGGTATTAACATGATTTACAAGATAACTTATTAATGTTTCAACAGCTGTTGGATCTTGAAAAATTGGAAAGATATCTTTAAATAAAATACCCTTTAATAATATTTTCAAGCATTTAAAAAGCAAACATTAAAAAAATATTATCAAAATATATATATATATATATATCCCAAAAGATATCATATAAAAAAAAAAATTTTTTTTTTTTGATTTACCTTCACTGGAAAGTCTGGTACAGTTCTTATCAAACTTTTAACTCTTTCAATATCAGACATTATTATTATTACTACAGTAAATAATTTGTTATATAGCCTTTTTAATAATAATAATTATTATAGCACGTATTTTATATATTTTATATTTTTTTTATTTAAACAGTAAAATAAACGAAGTGAGAGAATTAAGTTTCAGATCGAAACCGTATTTGAACTTATAGATGTGAAACGTTTGATTTTCGATTTTTTTTTTTTCAATTTAGAAATAATAACCATATACAATTATAAAAATTATACAGTAAAACTATAAATAAAAAAATAAATTTATATACTAGTAATTGTTACTCTCTTGAAATTCGATTTCAATTATTACTTCTACGCAGTACTATTTTTTGTTGAAACAAAGAATATATATATTAAGAAATTGAAATTTAGAAGCTTTCTAGAAGTTATTGATTTTGTGTAATAGAACATTATAGAATACACAGATAGAACTCGATGATCTACAATACACAATTTGTAAAATTTATATTGCTTCATTTTAAAAGCATAAATTTTTTTTTACCTTTACTAATCGTTTTTGAAAAGTAGTAAATTCAGAATCCGCCGATTTTAAAAAAGATGAGGTAAGTTAACTCCAAACCTTTTTATATCTTTTTTACCTTTATTAATTGTTTTGAAAAGTAGTAAATTTAGAATCCGATTGCATAAACTTTACGAATTTTTCAAAAACTTTTTTTTTTTTTTTTACCTTTTTTTTTTACCTTTTTTACCTTTATTTGTTTTGAAATTATAGATAAAAATTGCTGACAAATCTCGATCGAATCACATGAAACGTTAGAATAATGGCCCCCAATTTGGCATTTATGAAACTTTATATCTGATACATATAGAATTAAATCAAATTAAAATCCGATTGTAAAATATAAATGTAAAATATTGTAATTGTAAAATTTTAATTATAAAAATTTTGTATCAATGTGTATAAATAACAAGTAAATGTTAAATATTTATATATAATGTTAATACGTAGGTATTAAGTAAATATAATTTAATATAATTGTTTAATATCTTAATACATTTATTATGTCCACATTTATTCTCTTTCACTTCTATATTACTTTTCCATTGAAATTAGGGAGAACTTTTTAAATAAAACATTTAGTTATGAATTGTCTTAATATAATTTATATTTTATTAATTTTTTATTAAATATAATATATTAATATTGATTTGTTGTAAATATTAGTTAATATTAATTTTTTTTTTTGCTTTATTTGACAAGTTAAGAAAAAATGAAGTTAAAAACAACAATATTACTAAAAAGAATAAAGAATGAAATTTGGAAGGAATGCTGATGACGAGTAATTCCTCTTTCTCCGTCCATTCATTTTTTTTTTTGAATTAGGGAGAACTTTTTTAAATAAACATTTAATTATAAATTATCTTATTATAATTTACATTTTTATTACATTTTTGTTAAATATAATATATTAATATTGATTTGTTGTTAATATTAATCTTTTAAAATAAACATCTAATTATAAATTAATTTACATTTTTATTATATTTTTATTAAATATAATATATTAATATTGATTTGTTGTTAATATTAATTTTTTTTTGCTTTATTGACAAGTTAAGAAAAAATGAAGTTAAAAACAACAATATTACTAAAAAGAATAAAGAATGAAATTTGGAAGAAATGTTGATGATGAGTAATTCCTCTTTCTCCGTCCATTCATTTTTTTTTTTGAATTAGGGAGAACTTTTTTAAATAAACATTTAATTATAAATTATCTTATTATAATTTACATTTTTATTATATTTTTATTAAATATTATATATTAATATTGATTTGTTGTAAATATTGGTGTTTTTTTTTGCTTTATTTGATAACTCAAGAAAAAATTAAGTTAAAAATAATAATATTGCTAAAAAGAATAAGGAATGAAATTCGGAAGAAACGTTGACGAGTAATTCGATATGCAAAGAATTGTTCTTGTCACAAAAAATAAAGAAATTTCCAAAATTTCCACAGAATTTCCTATTATTGAAAAACCTACTTTTTTTTGTGTCATAAAATAATGTAAGGAAATAATGGAATACAAGTGTTATGGAAATTAATATAATTGGTAAAAATGGATATCTACGAGTTAGATATAAAACGACGTGAAATCACCTCAGTAAAAAATTGATTTAACCCGAAAAGATAAATACAAATATTAAGCAGCAGAAAACAAATAATTTGATAATTTATAAAAGATTATCCTTTTTTTTTACTCTCACAAATATATAAACACATATTTTTTTGCTATCTTGCCAAACTTCGAATATTTTTGATTTTTTAATTACTTGGATTTTCAATTACTTTGATTTTGCGATTTTTAAAAACTTTCTTTTTATACATTTGATATCTGATATTAATTATCATTTACAGATTACATTTTTTATAAAAAAAAAAAAATTTTTTTTTTGATTATTCAATAACTTTAACACTTGTTTACATTAATAATTACTTTTCACCCTATTTACTTTATTCGCTTTTCATACTTTTATTCATCTCAAAATGTCTTTCCAAAAACGCCCTCGTTCTGATTCTGGATTCAGTGAATCTTTAGAAAATATTAGGCTTCAAATTCCAATTATCATTTCTGCTAAGAACGCAATGACATCTAAAAACGTAACAACAGCAGATAAGAATGTAACAACAATTAAGAACATAACAGCTAAAAACGTAATAACAACTAATAACATTAGTACAGCTAAAAGGAACACCATAACTACTAAAAAGAACATTACAACTATTAAAAACACTAAGAGCACTAAGAACACTAATACGACCACTAATGCAACCACTAATGCAACCACTAATGCAACCACTAAGAAAACCACTATTACTGCTTCTAGAATGTCAGTAAAAGAAGTTCCCTTTGAAAGTTATTTAGGTCTCTCTCCATCATCATCATCTTCCTTTTCAAAATCAAGATCACATAATAAATTAAAATCAAATTTGGTAATTGATTATATTCCTGGGAATAACAACTGCCACAACAATAATAGTATTGATGATCATAATAATAATAATAAAGACGGTAATAAAAACAATAATGATAATAACAATAAAAAAGTTATTTCTGAATATGATGAAATTCAAATTCCTAGTAAAGATTTAATAACAATTAAGAGAAATTTTCAAAACGTTCAAGAGGTAAGTTAATTTTAATAAATATTTTTATTTTAATAATTATTGTTATTTATTATATGAAATTAACATTTTTTTTTTTTAATATAATATTTTTTTTTTTTAGGCTTTACATAAGGCACGAATGATTCGAGAAAAATTAAATTCTAAAAGCTCACCGCCAATTTCACTCGAAAAACTCAAAAATTCAATTCAGCGATGTAATTTGTATGTACACTCATTTTCTCATTTTGATATAATTTATTATCGATTTTAAATTTGTTCATGTGATTGATAATTTATTTCATTAATATTCTTTAGAATGAAAACACTTTTAAAAACTCAAACAGCAAACAAATAAACCAAATACCAATGATATATCTATTATCTAATTTAGTTATTATCTTCTATATTTTATTTATGTATATAATATTTTATTCACTTTCTTATCATCAACTAATTGTAAAAAAAAAAAAAAAAAATACACATTTTTTACATTTATTCATTTATGACGTAATATAATGATGATAATAAATTTTTTTTTTATTGAATTATATTAAAATGTTATAGTTACCAAAAAACTTGATTAATTTAGTTTAAAGAATTTTTTGACATGAAACAGATTATTTGGATTTCCTTAATAATAATTTGTGTTGACCTAATTTGGTTAACTACTTGTCTCTAGATTATCATAAATGGTACCAAAATATATAATCTGTAAAAATATAAACCAACTATTCGCCTTGTTCTTTTTTTTTTTTCATTAATTCGCGCTCTTTGATATCACTTTCAAACTCTTATTTAATTATTTTCTCATACTTATTTAGTTACTTTCTCATATTCTTGTTATTATTACTTTTCAACCTCTTATTTAGTTACTTTCTCGTACTCTTGTCTCAAGTTTATTACCTTCTCATGTCTTATTATGACCTTCAATCTCTTATATAATTACTTCTCCTAATGGTTCGATTCAAACATAAACTGATGCCAGCTGCTCGATTTCGAACCAATAATTTTGGTTTATAAAATATCTATATCGGAATAAAACTTACATTATAAACATAGTAAGCGTCGATGGGTCCTACGGAAAGGTGGAGTCTGGTCGACCAGATGAGTGGTATATTACCTAAAATCGTGTTCCTCATACACAATAGTGCCTTGTGCATATGTGTACTAGGCATATATTATATTCTTACTGTTTATTATATCGTGAAAATTTGATCAAAAAATGACATGTCAAATATTTTTAATATTTTTAAAGAAATAACAAAATTTAAATTTAAAATTATTTGAACGCGAATTTTACTTAGACGCGACATATCAGATAATGAATTTATAATTTTTATTATCGTTAAATGTACAATTGAGTAAAATTACAAAAAATGTACACCACAATTTTCGAACGTTAATTAAAATAATATATTAACAAAGATGAGATGTGGAGTAATATATTATGATTCAACATGTACACATGTGTACGATCAAATTCGAGACATTACTCAACTCGACTCGATTTTTAGGTAGTACACCACTCATCTGGTCGACCGGACTCCACACCTTTCTGTAAAGAAAGACATGATAATAATGTGTATACATTTACATGTGAGAGAAGAAAGGAATTGAAAAGTAATAACAGATGAATGTAAATAATAAAATACATATGTAAATATAATATATATATATATATATAGTAAAAGAATGTACAAATTATATATATATATATAAAAAAACAATTTATCTATTTATAAATTTTAGTTTATATATAAAATCATTTTTAATTCGAACAAGATAATTCAAACATTTGACATAATTTTATCCTCCCGAATTGAAATGCATAATTTTTATAATTATCTTTTCTAGAGGCTTCCAGCATACAAGTACCACAAAATTGGTTTTCTTTACACCAACCACATTTTATCCATATTTCATCCCAATATTTATATTTTATTCCGCATTCTGCACAAGACAAAGTGCAAAGTCTACAATTTGAATTTTGGCATGATTGAAATTCAAACAAATCATCATCATTATTATTTTTATTGTTGTTGTCATTGTGAAGAGGAGAAGATGAAGATGAAGATGATGGTTGTGTTGTTGTTGGATAGTTATTATTATTATTATTATTATTAGTTACCATTGATGACATATATGACATGGTTGATGTAATAGATGAAATAGTATTAATAGTATTAACAGTATTTGTCGAAATGTCACGTGTACACAAATTCATTTTTTCGTGATGATGATGATGATGATGGTGACGATCTTTCATTCGTTTCAAATCCTCTAATATTTTCTTGATCAACAATGAATGCCTTTTACCACCTACACATCTTGTCATCACTATCTTTTTTAATTTTTCCATTTTACTCTTCTTTTTAATATTATAATTTTCCAATAAGATGCAAGAAGAGTTTGATGATGAACAAGAAATATAGTTGTTAGAATTGGAATTATCCTCTTCTTCATACCAACTGGTTATGGCATTTGTGATAGGTAATAATTTAACATCTTCACATCCTAAAATATAAATATATGCTAGATTTTCACAATATCCTAAAATACTTATTATAGCATCTTCAGTAATTTTTGATTCATTAAAAGTGAATTTACGAATGAATGATAATTTTTCAGTTAATTTAAGATAAGAAAATAATTTAACAAATTGTGATTGAGTTATTGATGGAGGAAGAAATACATGAGAGAAAGTAATTGTATCAGAAAATGAAAAATATATTGATTGACAAGTTGAACGAAGAGCTAATATTGAAAGAAAATCTAATTCTTTTCCTATTATGTAAAGAATATCATCAGGAAGAGAATCAAGTGTTCTTGATAAAGATAAAGATGAAAGATGATGATGAGTTGGTAATAAAGTATAATACATCTTTTAAAAAATTATGTGTTTATTATTATTATTATTATTTGTTATTTGTTATTAATGTTTTGTTGTCATCAGTTATTGTTATCGGGATGAAAAGATTTTGAAAGATTTCTATAACAAAATTTATAAAAAAAAAAAAAAAAAGTTTATTTTTTTTTTTGAGAGAAAGATGAAAAATTGTTGAGGCGATGTAAAATCAGGCTTATATATATTATAGATTAATAAATATATTAAGTAAATAAACTGTATATAATAATAAATGTAAAAGTTTTTTTTTTTAAAGTAGAATCAAATATATAAAGAACATACGAGTGAACACAGATTTTCAATAATTATGTCAAAATTTCTAATTTAACTCCCTCATTTGCTATTTTTTTATAATTAATGTAATCTATCTTCTTATCTTAGCTTAAACTATATATATATCTATCTATCTATAAAAATATAAAATAGGATGAACCGAATTACTAACTAAATTAGATAATAGTACTAGGCTAAATTGATCGAATGAGAGAAAAGAGAATAATAGAGCACATATACAAATAAACATGTAATATAATATCAATGTACTTAAGTTTTATAGTGAGTGACTTAACCATATTTACAATATTTAATATATATATAATATTTTTATTTATACAAATTTACATATTAAAAAATAAACTTAAATAAATAATAATTTAATAATATAAATAAAAATGTTTAGAAATTAACCCAAGCGTTTTCTAAGAAAAATGTAAAAATTATTAATATGATTGGTGTTTTTTTTTGACAGTTTCTATGTATATCATCAAGTACAATCTTTTATTTTGCAGATTTATTTTTTTCTTTAGTAAAAGTAAATGGATAAATAATTATTATTAATGGTGATTATTAATGGATAATATTACTAAATGGATGGATATTATTAATTGCTATTATAACCCATTTTTTTGTCATGTGATAAATTTAAAAATCAAGTAGTGTTATTTTGTAATCACTCTTTTATTTTTCTTCTAATATGAGGCCCTAAAGTATGTATGAAATATTTTGATTATCTTTATCTCTTTTTTTTTATAATTCATTTGTCAATGATCATAATAAATAAATAAATCATGATAAATAAATAAATTATTATAATCAATTGTATTCACAATAGTATTTTTATTTATTTTCGCGTGAATTGGCGTGACAAAAACCAAGATTTTAAAATGATCCAAGAAAGAGTTCATTCAAGTCATCCACATACAACAAACGTACAACACAACATTTGCCAACATTAAAATTAACTGGATTAATAATTTCTCAAGAGAGGATGCCAAATAATTAAATAATTCTTGGAATATTATTTTATTATTATTATTATTATTATTATTATTATTATTATTATTATTATTATGTACCGAAATCGTTTTGTTATAACTGTTAATTAGTAATAGTAAGTAAGCAAAGAGAACATAAGCGTATAAATGAGTAATGTATGTAAAATACATAATTTATAGTAGTAAATTTTATTAGATAATCTATTAAATATGTACACACGTAAATAAATATATAAAATAACCTTCTTGAATTTTTTTTTTTCGCTTTCTTGGCATTTAACAAAACTCCTTATGTATTAAACGCCTTTTCTTTGTTTTAATCGTACATGTAATCTCATGTTCTATTCTATATATTCTATTCTGCATTCTATTATTCCATAAGAAAGTAAGTATCATAATGACAAAGAAAATATAAAGAAAGTAACATAATGACAAAAAGAAATATAAAGAATGTAACATAATGACAAAAAGAATATATCGAAAGAAGTCATATTATTTGTATAAGCAGTAATATTATCATGTACAAAAGTACAAGTATGTAACAGTAAAACGAAAATAGAAAAACAAAAATTTACGTAAAATTCAAATTACAATAAATAAAATTCTAATTGAAGCGATTGATTACGTTAATTACGCAGTAGTATCTTCATCTTCAGTACCTTCAGTTTATAAGAAAGATGCTCCTTTCTTTTGGTTTCCGTAAATTCCCGAGCACATTTAAAGAATTTAGAACTTTAAATAATAAATGTATAATTCTGTCTATTTTTCGAATTGAATTAGCTCTCGATCTTTCCAATTTTCCATGATAGATATATATATTATAAGAATTTCTCACATTTCATATGTACCAACATTTTTCATTTTTGATAAATAAGGTAATAATAACCAAATATAATGACAAATTAAATAAATGTAATAGAGAGATCATTCTTCTATATTGTAAATATTGTAACACGCACATGAATATAACTTATTTATTTATTATTTATTCATTTACTATTTATTCTTATTTGTAATAAAAAAAAAAAAATTTTTTTTTTTTGAGTTTTAAACAATAAAATACGAAATGAAGATTTAAATTAGTGGTGATTATATGTCGTGTGTTTGTTTTTTTTTTTATTTAACAAGTTGCAAGAAAAAAAAAATTGACAACATTACTTTTTATAGTAGTTTCTTAGAATTGAATGAAAGCATTAGTGTTGATGTTAAAAGTGGTGAAGAAGTTTAATGAAAAAGGGTAGATTGAAAGGAAAAAAATAGATTTGGTAATTTCATTTATCATTTATAAATCAGGTAATTACATATTAGAATGATGCAAGAGTTTAGAGTTTTACGAATAATAAAACATATCTGTGGACAGAATGTAACCATTGAATGGTGTGGTTTTTATTAGCATACGTACATTTTACATATTTTTCATATATACAATATATATAAATATTTCCTTCGAATTTTCGTAATTATCAATTAGTTTATGAATCGAGATATTAATTTGGTAATAAATATTATTTATTTTTGTGACATAATTAAATATTGTTTAATTTTTATCTTATCATCTTTTGTTTTTTTGTTTTTATTTAAGGAATAACTAACCACAATATCAATTGTTTATTATTGAAGCAACAATAAAAATTATAAAAACAACAACGATAGCAACAACAAAGATAAGGTAAGGACAAGGAAAGAGAGGGTGTAAGAAAGGAACAAACCAAATTTCTGCAATACAGTATTAAAATATTTTTTTTTTAAATATTCCGAATCACACGACACGACTCGTACAAATATAGTATTTCCTTTGTCGTCAAAATAAACAAATAATATTATGTTGTTCGTTACACTTAAAATTTTACTAATATGTGTTATTTTAATGAATATTTATTTAATAAATATTTGTTTAAAAAACATTTAATGAGAATGCCAAGCTTTCTTCGGAGAGTTGCGCAATAACAATCAGTGAAAATGTTAAGGTCCTGTCCTGTCAATATCAATATATTACAAAATAATCTTTGCAATAAGTAGTTACAAGAGTTTAATATTTAAAGAACAATAATTCAATAAATATAAAGTTAAAGGTTACAAAATTTTTAAAAACATATAATTTGAAAGTTAAAAAATATTTCTTTAATATTAAAGTTATAATTAATATGTAGTGTGTAAAGTTAACAAAGAACTGAAAATTGCTTCGCATGATTACACGATAATTTCAATTAGTGTTCTGTGATTGATCAAAATATCGAATTATTCATTAAGATCAAGAAATTATTTATTATGCTATTAGTAACCACAAAATATAATAAATCAAATCCCTTTTTGATATTAATAAATAAAATAATAAAACTTATAAAACAACAAAACGCGGAATATAAAATCCGAATCAACATAAAAAGCATTTGGAAATTAAATAAATAATTAATAAATGATAAATAAATAATAAATAATAATGGTTAAGGACAAGAGAGAGAGAATCATTGTTTTGTAAATAATAACAAGAGATTATCTATATTTCTCGCTTATTTGATTCTTTATGGTTTACCAAATAATAATATAACAAGATGATCTATTTATTAATATCATGTTAATAATATTATAATGCTGACAATGTAATCACTCTCAAATAAAGAATACAAAAGAATAAGATAAAAATGTCTATCTTTACCACCACGTGGAAAAAAGTTCTATTTTTTTTTTTCTTTCTTCTAAGGATAAACGCATATTAATAGTGGTCACTTGATTTTTTTTCTACGCAGAAAGAAAAATAAACTTTATGTATTCTTTAATTAGAAATTCTATTAGTAGATTTTTTAACATTATTAATGAATGAAATTATTAATAAGGAATAGTTGTAGAATTTCTAATTGATAAATGTGATTTTTAAATTTTAATTTAATTTTGTTTAGTGACTTGTAACCAATTAATAAAATATATAATAAAATATCTAATAAAATATATATAATAAAATATATAATAAAATATATAATAAAATATCTAATAAAAAATAAATAATAAAATATATAATAAATATATATATAGTAAAATATATAATAAAATATATAATAAAATAAATATAAAAATATATTGCTAATTTTAACCAAGGGGAAAATTTTCTTCAGGTGATGACAAATAGACAAATAGTATTTCAAAAAATAGAATAAAAATCGACTTGGAAAAGATAATAATATGATGATACAGGTTAATATAACCAACGAAGTTCACGAAACCTTTTAAATGTAAACAAGTTGGACATATTGCTTGAGAATGGAGTGTTGATAATTCACCAATGACACAAATATATTTTTTAAAGTGGAAAATTCTAAGACCAAAGGATTTATGTTCGTTTTAGACGTTTATACGATAAATCACCAAATAAATATGCCCGTACCATTTTGTCACATTGTCATCATGTTATATTTGCATATATCACACATTAATTATTACGCAATTCAATTTATTTGATCCATTGACAAATGTATGCCAAAAATATCCAAAAATATTAATAACATAATGTTAATATCATATATGATTTGTTTTAATTATAATGAATTATGATGGTTTATTATATATAAAATGAATATTATGTATATACTAAAATATTGGTTTGTATTTAAGCAATAAATAAGGAACAAAAGATTGTGCGTAATAAGAATTTTATTGAAGAAACGAACATCCTGTTAAACATTTATTATTAAATAAAAAAAATATTCT